ACACACACACACACACACACACAAACAGCGAGAGAAAATCGTATATACAGTTGCAAAAACAAAGGACGCTTTATTCATGCATATTATTTTTGTTTATAAGCTTCATGCCGGTAAAGATGACCTGGGCCGAGGAGGAAACGCAGCAAGTTTGGCTAATGGTAACGCAGGACCACGGCTTGGATGCTGCGTCATTGGTATCACAAACGGCCAACGCGTTGCCGTTCCTGCAGCCTAATGAACTTTAAAAATGGGTTGGGTTTGGAAGAAAGAATATATGAACATTCTTAAAAGGTCTCGTTTTGAATAAAGTTCTTTTTGAGAGAATAAAAGTTGCATTTTGTCTTCGTATTGACTTTTGTTAGTTTTAACTAACATAAATGTTTGATATGACGTTTTCCTTGGATAAATTTTAAAAGTGCAATGACAGTTTAACAAAAGATATCAAAGGTTTAACAATGACAGTTTAACAAAAGATATCAAAAGATATCCAAGGAAGAATACTGCATGCTACAGCTTATATGCAGCACCTTTTTGGACTTAATAATTAGTTCAGTATACGTATCTGCTATATGCTTGGATGTGCCAAATTCAGGACCAGATACAACCTTCTGGCTGACGTTCTTCGATTCAAAATTAGGCGAATATCTCTGTCAGTTTCCAAATGAAAAAAAGAAGACAATTTTTGTCATTTCGGGAGACCTAGTAGACTTTCAAATTATAGCCTGAAAGAACACCTTTAATAAAACTTCCCGAGCCCCTTATAAATGACAGTACAAGATTGAAATGAATATTTGGAAATTAAGATTTTCATATTGGTGATAACATATTCGAAAATTGTCCAAAACACCCATCAATGTGCTTCATATATCGTTTTTTTTTTAACTCAACACTTAAATAAAATAAATTATATATCGGCGTGTATGGAGTTAATGAGCATGGTGATTGGTGGTGCCAGCATTAACACAGTGGATACATGAAACTTTGGTTCCAAGTTTTTAATTAATACCGCGATTGATGTAAGGGGGAACAGAGTTATTAGTTGCAACTAAAATATTAGTTCAAATGACAATGCATTGGCCATATAATCGTATTAGTCCATTTTAATTTGAATATGATCACAGATATTGCTCATCCTTTGCCCTCAAAGAATTCCAGTAAAGACAGAGTATTATTTTTTCAGTTATTTGCAATGGGGGTCTAACTGCGCTCCAGGGGAGTGCACATAACGGTCTGTGCTACATTGACCAACCCCGTAGCCCACAGTTTCAAAGGGGGTTCTTTTTTTTCTGAAAAAAGGGGACCTTAATCATGGATTATTCGTGTACCTAGATCAAATTTTACGTAGAGTGGACCTTCTCCTGGCGAAATATGTGGTTCATGCGAGCTACGGGCATGTTTCCGTTTTAATTCTTTTCAATTTTGAAACATAAAATACAAATCCATTGCTACAGCACACCGCAGCTGTTCTCAACCACCACACAATGCAGTGCGTCAGTGATGCTCTGCGAACGACACGACATTCACAGAACAGACGGAAAAGTTTCTAAGGAAATGATTTTTCTTACGTTTAAAGAAAGAAAGGTGTGGCGTAGGGCACAGGGCAGATATTTTTTAGTTTATTTTCGAAAATGCGGTGAAAGATAATTATATTCCCTTCTCAAAATAAACAGAAGAAATATGGACATATGTTACCAAATCAAACTTAAGTTTATTCAGAACCTACTGTGTATACAAGCACAAAATGTTACTATAACATATTTTAAAACGTTTATATAACCCCCAAAAAAGAAGTTATGGTAAAACGTTCTGTGTTTTCTGTGCTCTGCATTTTAACATTGGGAGTAGATAAAAAAAAACGCATGTTGATTCAATCCAAAAATTTAATGGTCTTATGAAAAAAGCAATGTCCTCACAAGTCTGGGCAGTATAAAGTCTGTGCCTTATTTAATTCTACACCTAGCACATTGGTAGGAAGCGCATGGTTGGATAATCATCAATTTATACAATAAAAAACTGTCTTTAAAAATTCCCCTTGACCCACAACGAGGAGCACTAGCTGAATCATAGTTCTTATTCGTACCAGCTGGCACCGTTCGCCTTCTAAAATACCAAAAATGTCGGGTCCCTTCAGCGGACCCCATACCCCACACCAAGGGAGGAGAGAGGGGGAGGGTACGCTTCGCATCCGAAGACCCCCCTTCAAATAATCCTGGATCCGCCCCCGATTTTTAGAAAAATTAATTGTAGCGGGGTTTTATTCAGATTAGCTTCACGTGTGTGTGCGTATATTTTATATTCAATCTCGTATGCGTGAGACTTCATTTGTCGTTTAGTTTTCAAGTTTAATTAAATTTTTTTCTGACTTTTCTTTTTCATTATTCTTTTCTTGTTCTAATTCTTAAAAGTGAACATTTTGAATTTTGGTGAAGGCTTTGTGCAACAAGAAGTAATGGCAAAGAAGTAATGTGCAAAATTTTCTTGGGGTGTACTGCGCATGCTCTTAAAGTACTGGAAAAAGATCCAATTTTAGACTGGATATATATAAACCTGGGTGAATAAAATATTGGAAATACGCTACAAGAGTAAAAAGAAGGAATTAAGTGTAAAATATGTTTATTGGAAAAAAAACATCACATTAATAAAGCTCACATTAAATGGTATTTTTATAATTTTAACAAGAAAGGCAATAAAGTTATATAATTTATTGTCATTCAGTGTTGTAATGCTGCATAAGCGTATTGTTTTTAATTATCATTTCTTATACAGGGTAAACCCAGTCAGTCGTCAAATATTGGGATGGACTTCCTTGGAACCTCTGGAAAGCACAGTGTTTACATAGAATTTAATAATACCCGATAAATTTATTCTATACAGTGTTTAGATTGTATTTTTGTAGTATATTGGATTTTGAAATATTTACTGCCCCTTCATGTACCGTTTCAATTTCAAACAATATCATTTAAACAATGGGTCGTGTCAATTCTGTACGCTTTGTACACAAGAAAACTAAAAAACTAGTAAGGTGGAATGTTTTTAAACAACTGATAAGAGAAAAGTTGACTAAGTATAACTTCATGACTGGGCAAATAAAATTCATAATTAGATTGCAAGAAAAAATCTGAACCCCGGTTCTTAGATATTTAGAAACTATTTTCTCAAGTTCGAAAATTTTACGTTTTCAATCAAAGAATGGTCCAATGATCATGCAATCAGGTTAAAATAGCAAAACACTGTTCCCTTTGGTATATGCTATATTTCTCTGCCCCGAGATCTAAACAAACAAGATTGCAAGTAGACATAGTTGGGGCCTGTGCTCAGATAAGAGAGCAGTTATCTTTTACTCCTGAAGGTGTTAAGCAGTACAAAGCAGTTAGTTATATTTAAGAGCACAGAAAAGGTGAATATGCAGCTGACGTCATGCAGCAAACCCACTAAGAGGTCCTCGGATTTAGTAGGACAAGTAGATTATGATGAGGGGTGGTGCTTATCTACCATGATATTAACCTGCAATGATGAATATAAACATAAGATAAAAATACATGAATGAATAGTATAGATTCTAAAATTTGCCTTTTTGAAGACTAAGACCCCATTTCCATAGATTTTAGATCGATCTATCCCTGTGGGGAGTGTCACTAGATTACTGTCAGCTTAGCCGGCTTAAGCGTCTGTCCCGCCTACTAAAAGCTGTAAAAGGGTAATTAACTATGGTGCGCGCTCGGCTGACTGCAACTTACAGTGAACCCCCGGGGAGTTAGGTCGATCTAAATCTTAATCTCTGGATCGATCTAAATCTCTATGAATACACTCTAAGACCCCATTCCCAGAGATTAGATCGATCCAACTAGATCGACCTAACTCCCTGGGGGTTCACGCTAAATAGCTGTCAGTCGAGCGGGCACGAAAGTTAATTATCCCCTTACAGCTTGAAGTAGGCGGGACGGACATTTAGGCCGGATTATCTGACAGTAATCTAGTGAGACTCCCCACGGGGATAGATCGATCTAAAATCTATGAGACTGCGCCCTTAGAAGGACAGCATAATACATTTTTTATAATTTCTCAATTTCTGTTTAGATAGTCTATCCTTAGTTCAAGAAAGGTATATTACATACACCCTTGATGAATTTACTACCCCTGCTCAGAAATTGCACATTTACTCGAAGAGAAAATACACATAATGCACATTATCATCTCTTGGCTAACAACGCTAAATCAAGAAAAAAAGTGACTGTTAATTATTTTTCACCCTTATATAGTCAAATGTTCAGTGCTTTTTAGAAACGCATGAAAATGACTTGTTCCTACGACTAAAAGTGTTTTTAAACAAACGTTCGGAACTATTAGGTAGTCAGACTTAAGATTATGTGAGCATTCAAAACAGCGGACTTAGGGTGCTTTCCCAGAGATTTAGATCGATCTAAAGATTAAGTTTTAGATCGACCTAACTCCCTGGGGGTTCACGCTAAATTGCAGTCAGCCGAGCGGACACCATAGTTAATTACCCCCTTACAGCTTTTAGTAGGCGGGACAGACGCTTAAGCCGGCCAAGCTGACAGTAATCTAGTGAGACTCCCCACAGGGATAGATCGATCTAAAAATCTGTGGAAATGGGGTGTTACAGATCCACAGATCAAATATGACCGGCCCACTTGAATGCTTGTTGCATATTCACCGCGGGAAATCTATTCAGTGTTTTAGTGGGTCGTCACAATAGATCCCAGAATCTGTTAGTCCGCTTTTCTGAATGCGCTCTATGTCTTGACATAAATGGCACCTGACCTGGTCATCACTGACTTGGTCAACACTGTTGACTGTGTTCTTCTCATCAGCTGCAGTAGCGAAAAAATAATATCTTTTTACTTAGTTAATTTGATAAAAAGAAACTTTTACTTTGCATTGATTGTTCAAAGTAAAAAGAAAGAAAGAAAGAAAAAAGAAAGAAATGTTCTTTCTTATTTGTCTATTAATATACGCGAGAACACATTCTTTAATGCACATTAACCAATAAGGGTCCTTAATGTTGGATGAACGTTGCACAGGTAAACTACGTGTGTGTCAACCTTTTATGGTTTGCTCTTATTGTGTCTCACAGTGTGAACCTTCTTAACGATCTTATCTTTAGTCAGTTGTGTACAGGCTCTGGGGTTGCATATTATCTCACCATTAGTCCCTTGCTGTACTTGGGTGGGATCTTCTTTCTCTGTATGTTTTTGTGGCTCCACAACAAACTTCTTACGTGCACGTAGAACAAAGTGTTCCAATGGCCATGCAATTAAAAGTACAACTATAGCAGAGATGGCAAAACTTCGGAACATGATAACTCCGCCATATTTGTTGTAGATCTGCCCAGCTGTCAAAGAACCAATGCCAAAACCTGAAAGAATAGTGTAAAGCTAGTAAAATTGTGAACTGTAACAAAGTACCTACACCGAAAAAGTGTAGACAACAACTAATGGAGCAAAAAGTGAACAATGGGGATCCAGGGTAAGAAGAGGAGGAGGGGTTCTCCTCCCTTCCACCAAACGGGAGTTCCCTCCTTTCACTAAGAGTTAAGCATTGAAACCTGGCATTCATATCAAAACGGGATCAAAACGGGAACGGGAACAAAGTTTTATTACTGAGTTATTTCATGATTTTAATTATGATATCTATAATATTGGCAACATTGCCTAAAAAGAATGCTTACCCAAACTCCAATGCAATCCTCCCACCAGACCTTGCAAGGTAGCAGACATTCCTGGAGGTGCAATGATATCTGTATACTCCGTAGCAGCAGCAAATAACAAACCATAAGTAATAGCATGGGTGGGCTCTATCAGAAACACGTACCATGGATTGGTCAGAAATGAATACGCTCCAAACCGAAGAGCATATACCCCAAGGGTAATGAACAGTATTGGCCTATGCCCAATTTTGTTGATAATCCATCCAGAAAAATACAGCATTGGGCTTTCAGATACACACTCGACAACCAAGGTCAACCCCATGAGTACCTTGGGGCTACATAGCTCCCCAAGGTACCAAAAGAGAAACGTCTGCAAAACACCCATGAACACACCAAAGATGAATATGATTATCAGAAAAATACAGATCTCTGCATCTTTGAACAGCAGTGACAGATTCTTCATCATCCGAGCACATTGGATATCCTTGGGGATGTCTATGAAATAACCAGACACAGCTGAAACTATTGACAGAGACCCAGATAGGATGAATGCTGCATAAAAGTTTGACACCGACTTCTGCTGAGTAAAAGAGTCCATAAATAAGCCAGAAATTACCGCAAATAATGCATAACCAAGGGTACCAAATACCCTTGTACGACCCCAACTTGTTCTGTGCTTTTCTGTTAATATGCTCAAGGACATGGCATCTGCTAAAGGGAGGGTCACCGACTGAAATATCTGAGAAAGAAGATACAGAAGGAAGAAAAGCCCAAATGTTAAACCTCTGTTGTTTACGTTTTGTCTCTCCTGGGATGTGTTTTCCTTGCAGGCCAGATTACACTCCATAGCCAATGGATGCTTTACCTGAATTCTGTCAAATTCGGAGCTATTTACTTCAAATGAGTCAACTAGATATTGATGGCATTTCTTTGCAGGTGTTGCAAGTGTGCTTTGAGTGTCATTCTCACCAATTAGATGAAGTGACACGTTTTGCATTTGCAGCCTGTCAAAATTCTCATAATCTTGGCAATATGCAGTTCTTTGAATACAAAGTTTTATGGTTCCAGTATCATTATCCTTTTTTTCACAAGATAAGGAACAGATATTTACCAAGTGCAGATAATTATCATCTTCATTAGATTGTAGGCAATAACCCTCTTCAATATGTGTCTCGTAATTTGATTTGTACCATTGGCATTTACTGACAGTAACATTGCTGTTGTTTGCAAGTAAATACACCCTGACTGGTCCCTTCACCGCTGGAACATGCGGCACCAAAAGACACATTGAGCTAAAAACTGCACAAAATACTGAAACCAATATCAATAAAAGCTTGTGTTTTTGGAATTTATCTGCCAGCATACACCACAATGGTTTGACGAAGAAAGTGATGAAAGGCATCGATCCATATATAATGGCAGATTCCGATGCATTGAGGCCTATATGCTGCATGTACAGTGGCAAGTAAGGCATCAGTGATGCCAGTGCTGAAAACAAAATCAGTATGCTTATCTCAAAAGAAATGTTTTTCAATCAAATGCACTCCAAAACTGGCATTCAATATGTACAATCCAAAATAGAAATTACAGAAAAAAACAAAAGTATAGTCAATATATTAAAAACAACGAATTGTGAACGTTCTAGTCATCTTATTGTTTTGAATCCTGCTAGTAATAATTATATCGTTATTTTGATTATTAATTTCAATTCTTAAGTCCATAAAATGTTCAGCAGAATTAAGAAGAAAAGACGTATTATAGCAATACCACAGAGAAATATATCTGAAAAAAAAAATTAATGATTGAAAAGGAATATTGTTTAAAAAGGGTAATCTTTACTTCTTTTTATATCTGGGATACTCACGTTTCCTGAAATTTATGGTTGATACCGTAGGTGGGTTCTTACGCTCATTTGGTGCTGCTGTTTTGAAAGAAAGTTACCAGGTATGTAATCGCATGAATGACGAGTCTCAAGCCCCCACCCCCCACCCCTTTTACAGAAAGCTGCGACCCTCGTGTCTTTCTTGTCCAACCGAAAATATATTTAGGACGCTCAATGGTCGCCACGACCAGCAAATCACGTCCCCGTAAAAATGTTTCTGCGAGCCCTGTGCCTCATTTGAGTGACCGAATCCAGTATTTTTTTTCTTTTTTTGTAGAACTACGAGTGATCTCCGCGTCCACTGAACAATTTCCCTGCCTCCACAGTGCGTAAACTGAGCAACCTACGTCGTCTAATTATAGACAACTCTCAGCTAAGTTTGACCCCCCGTCGGGCCACCTCTTTGCTTTCTCTGTACCGTCATCCCCTACCAATGGCGATCAGTGGCGACAATTCAACCATGCTTCGGCCTCAATGAAATTTATGAGCGTTGTTAGGACGATCTAAGGTGGCTGCTGGGCATCTTGAAGTGTTTGCGTATATTATGACTGTTTTTATCATTTTACTCATCCGTTCGTGTGCCCCAAGAATGATAGGTGATGGTTCAACTTCAGGCTACCTACTGGTATAAAATATGCTTTAACATAATTCTATGTACCATCTCTCCAGGGTTTGTCCAAATTGAAATATAAAAACTTACCAGCCAAGGAAAGAAAGTAGTATGCCTTGCATGGTAAAAGTGCTGTGTTGATCACCAAAGACCCACACTTCATCATAAATTACTGAAAGAAAACGAAATAAAGAGACGCATGTACTTTACATGGACAAATTGCACTTTACATGTCTCTATTTATACACATAATACACATAATACAGGGGCACTGTAATGTGCAGGCCCGTAGCCAGGGGGGGGGCTTCGGGGGGGGGGTTCGAAAGAACCGCCCCTTTTGCTGGGAAAAGGTCCACTCTCGGTAAAAATTGAACTAGGTATATAATGTTTTTATGGGAAAAGGTCCACTTTTTCAGAAAAAGAACCCCCCTTTTGAAATTGCTGGCTACGGGCCTGATGTGCATACACTAAAGTAAAATAAAATAAACGTTTTTGAACACACTGCACTAGCTTTAAGTCCGTTTTAAGCAAAAAAACATGACTGAATCGTACATTATAATTACAAAGTGTTACGTTTACGGTCGTTCACCTTTGTATGGGTTCCAGTCATAAGTTATTGGAAGCAGTTAAAAAAGACTACACTACCGTTTAACACTTTGACATATTGCGAACAAGAACGGTGAATTTTTTCACAATGCTGTAACTTATTATTACATATTTAAAAGTATCCAAATCTCACTATCATTAACAATTTTTCATTTGTGATCAGTTTGTTTCAAAACCTATTACAGAGGTGTAGTTAATAAATTATATGTTAATATTTGAGTGTGTTTAATAACTTGTTTCTCAAACCCCCTCCGACCTTAAAAGGCTTAAAATAAAAAATCAAATTTTTACACACAATGCATTAAAATTAATGAGAGGAAAAGAGATTAAACTGGCGAGACCGTTATATTGTGACGGGGTCGTGGCCGAGTGCCTTAGAAAAGCTGACTTACTTCTGTATACATGTAGCTTCAAGTCACACACTTGCTTCAAGACGTAAGAGCTCAGACAACGGGTTATGTCACGGAGCCCCTTTATATACAGGCTCATCTCCTCTTTTTTAATCAGGGTAAATAACACAATTGTGTCACCAATAAGTCACTTATTCGAAGAGATTACCCGGCGTCACATCAACTGATACAAAGTGGCACACCGAAAAGTACTTTACCCAAATTGACAACTATATGTAGAATTGCAAACTAATTTCGACTAAAGCATGCTACTTACTTCGTTACACTACATAACATTTTATTTGAATTACAAGACAAATAAAACGGTTCAATAGGTAACGTCACACTGCCTTGACGTTTTATTAATATGGTTACTTGTGTTAAATTTGAAGTCTTTATTATTGTCTAAACTAATGACCACAAGACATTATTCTGAAACAATATCTCCTTTATCTTTATTCCTCTTACCTTGGTTGAAAAACAAGTAATTAAAAAGTCTGTGCAATTAGGCTCCGTTCACATGAAAAGTCTATTTTCTAAAAATCTATTTTCTATTCGCGGTATCTTGTGATCACGGTCAATGCCCTGAATACCCCGCGGCGTAATTACTGGCAGCGCGAGCCAGTTACTTCCAAAGCTGTAATTAATTCTCGGCTGCGCTCGGAGTGATCACAAGATACCGCGAATAGAAAATAGATTTTTAGAAAATAGATTTTTCATGTGAACGGAGTCTAAGACTCATCCCAACAAACACAGAACGTTTCAACGTTTTTGCAACTATTATTTTCAAGCCTTACAAGACCTAGAAATATGAGATGAATGTGATTATGATAGGATTAATAATATAATGAGCGGTCCGATGACACCGTTTTAATGAATTGAGAAAAAGGGGGATTTGCAAAAGAACACCAGTGAAGAATATCTGACTATTTTGATATTCCTTCTTTGATTTTTCTTTGTTTGCAAAAATCACCATTTGAGTCCTATTCTGTGTGTTATGAAAAATCATATATCCGTGCTTCCAAGACAAAGGCAGGAATTTTGAGATAAAATATTGGACAGCGTTCAAAGTTTTTCCTTAAAACGCTTGTTTTCCAAAATTTATGTTTTCTAAAATTGGAACATGATTTCACTCCCATGGGTTTTACTGCAGCTGAGTTGAAGCTTAATTTCCTGTCGATCTATGAAGGACCTTCACTGGTCTGCCAAAAGAAGGCATTGTCCTACAGACTATTAAACGGACTTCCTCCAAAAGTGTGGCTAATCATATTGTGTTATTTTCTATTTTGAAACCGATTTGCGCACTTAATGCTGCGACCTAGTCCTACTCTACGAGATATTAACGGATATGTGTCTGGTTAAATAGATGGCTAATCTCTGCACTGTGTAGGGAGGCCGCGCCCTAGATTAAGCCCCCCTTTAGTCAGGCTAACCCTTACCATTATAACTAAATAAGGGGCGGACTGTCTGTTACACGGACCTTCAGTTTCGTTACACCGGTACTACGCAACACATATGGAGAAAAAAATGCTGTAGAGCCGCATTTTGCAACCAAACGCATTTTGCTTTCTGTGACCAGTGACCTGTATAGAGAGATTTCTAGTTCCCAGCTTTGATTATCCAATGTGCGCAAGCCATAAATGTACGTCCCTTCTTTTCATGTCTGCTGGAGCGTAGGAGCATATGATAATGCGGAAAGGTGTAACAGTGTAGAAAGTGTCATGTAAAAAGCTTGCGACCCACATATCAAATGTAAGAAGACACGCTGTTCATGTAGATAGAACAGATACACGTAGAAGTGATATTATTACTAGTGTCAACCCAATGCAGTCTACATGCAGTAGAATGTCGTCAGTGAGAGTAGCCTATATTGCAAACCAGAGACGCTGAGATGGACAATTGATTCAGTGATTTCAAGCATTACAGTAGATACAAGCTTAAGGTAAGTCTTTCTTCTTTCTTGCCTTATATGGTTTTCGCGGGCCCGTGCACCTCTCTCTCTCTCTCTCTCTCTCTCTCTCTCTCCGTCTTTTTCGCCTTTGACACATAATCAACCTTCCTACATGAACCAGTATAACCAAACATCTTAGCTACACTTAACACCCTTGTTTGGTGGGTCCTAGACTGCGTTCTCAAACCTTATCGTTCTGACAGGATCGATCTATCTCAGCGTTGATTCTCGCTACTTAAGGCGCAGTGAATGTACTCCGCTTAGTTGTCTAGCACTCCTCCTCGCAAAGCAACATGAATAACATCATGGACTGGACCTCAACGTTTTACCGACTTTACCCACGTACTTTAAGTTACGAGGGGGTGTGCCAGACATTTAAGCTGGTTAAACTGAATGCAATTTAGCGAGATTCCCAGAGGAGTTAGATCGATCCAGCTGGTACGATATGGTTATGGGAACGGTCCCTAGAATACACGTGATTATAGCTCCCAGACTGCAAAGTACAGATATTAGTATAACAGATCATATTTGACGATGATACGGAGCTTTGTTAGTATCATATTAACTTTTTTCTATTTTCATTTAAGTTTTATTTTATGGAATTTTCACCGCGGTGAAAATTATTTCTACCGCGGTGAAAATAATTTTCACCACGGTGAAAATAATTTACACCGCGGTGGGAATTAATTTTCACCACGGTGGAAAATAATTTTCACCGCGGTGGAAAATAATTTTCACCGCGGTGGTAATTCCTGGCCATCTCGGCCCGGGTGATGAATAGGTAATGAGAACCTTACATTTGCCAGATTCCGTCGGTGCATGCTATTGTTACATACACACAAGGTTGGTGGATCTGTTCGTGGGGCCACTGCCGTTAACTTAAGTTTCCCATCTATATTTACCACCTATATAATTAAAGTCCCGCTTGCAGTTTTATGCAAAGGGAATCCCATTGTTATTACTAAATACTTAACGTTATTTTTGGACAATGTATTTTTAAATATTTTTTGTGATGTGTCTCTTAGATCTTATCTTAATAGATGTAATATCGGTTTCTTCGGAAAGGTTTCTTTCTACCAATTTTCCCAATAATACGCAAGTTATTATAAAGGGAAAAGCCACGTACAACATTGCAGCATTTCGCTGATTTTAATCTATTCGAATACTGCCCGCTTCCTCCAGATTCCTGGGATGATTGGCACATAGACGGTTAAACCGCGTGCATGTGCATGTGCTTGTCTTTATCAACGTTCTTTCCAGACATCTGGTAAATGTTGGATTCGTATAACCTACCTGTATGCATTACCCGGGCCGAGATGGCCAGGAATTACCACCGCGGTGAAAATTATTTTCCACCCCGGTGTAAATTATTTTCCACCGCGGTGTAAATTATTTTTCACCACGGTGAAAATAATTTTCACCGCGGTAGAAATAATTTTACCGCGGTGAAAATTCCATAACATAAAACTTAAATGAAAATTTAAAAAAGTTAATATGATACTAACAAAGCTCCGTACGATGACAATGATATTCATACAACCCCGAAACACCTTTCAACAGCAAAGATATCAATATAATTCTACGGTATTTTCTTATCTTTCAGAAGCAAGAGAGGAGGATAGCCTTTGACACGCATGTGGCCTAAAGAATTACTGGATATATTTTCAATATTGCATCAACATTGCAGGAGCAAGTGACAACAATAAGAATACAAACTCTGGGACACGGTGGCAATGAGGTTCACAAATGTAACATTGCATTCTGGGAGTTTTTTGGTGCAGTTGATGGGTGGTCTATTGCTTATTCTTTTACTGATCAATTCAAGAATGCCCTTAATCTTGGCGTCGACGTCGAAGGAAAACGTTTCACATTTGAGCCTGCACAATAAACGTTGGAATCAAGCGAATGGACACCAAAGCGGCGAGAAAATGGCGTCACAACTTCTCTATTTGGTCCGAGACGAAGATACAGAGCAGACGAAAAAGTTAATATGGTTGTTAGATGCTAAAGAGAAAATGCAATTTGCAGTCAAGACGAACACTACAAGCGGTCGACGCAGGACCAGGGGGCGCTTCTAGATACATGTAGCAGAATCTGTTTCCAAATAATATGGACATTTTTCAATGGTGACTGGCTGCTCTCAGCATTATTCGAAAAAAACTTGATGATATCAATCAAGAACGTTATCAGCATGAGTTAACTAAAATAGCATATATTTATGTTGAAAGTTCCAAAGCCTGATAAGGGCGGTAGTCACTAAATTGTCACAACATTTTGTTCTGCTTAGCAAATGTTGCTATTCTAGAAGTAGGAATTATATATATTTTTCACAAATATTAATGACTCGTTTTTGTCCAAGTAAAGCACAATTTACTCCGTCTGTGAAGAATGTTTTTATTGTCTACTTCTGTTTACGATTGAAATGTTTCACAGTTTTTTGAAAAGGCAATTTATCATTTCTAGGCAGTCAGTGAGAGCCATCATTTGTGAAATGTGTTCAGGCTCATCTATCACACTCGACCCCTTTTTCTTCAACGCACCCAAAAAAAAAAGTTTCCCCATATCGTTATCTATTATTTACTGTTTTTCAGACATCTGCTTCTTCCACTAAAGATAAATGACTTAATATCTAGTTGCTATTGACTGTGCAGAGACTGTCAATCCAGTGTCAACAGAAATATTTGGTAACCCCAACTTATGCTACCTGCTTTTTTCTTTATTTGTCTGTTTATTGACTAGGTTTTGTTTATATTTTATTCAATAAATCCATTATTTCCTTCTTTCTTTATTCTTTTCTTTATCTTGTTTTATCTTATCCATTTGTTTACTCATTTTAAAATTATTTATTATTTTACCATCTTATCAGTCACGTGGCGAAAAAAATTACCTCTATAAGATTACGTTGTCATGTGAGCAAATTGTATATGTCTAAGTAAATTATCAAAATATTTAAATTGCTGATATTGTAGAGATACAATGAGTTTCATACCTGGAGGGGGGGGCATGAGGATTTCTCTTTAACCCCCTTTACACTGGACGGCGTCCTTTCTGGGTCCTTTGTGCGACCATGAAATTACCGTCGCTGTGGTTGTATAAAGGAGGCATAAGCATAGCTTTGGTTGCAAAATGAATACTCAATAGAGAGCTTTCACCTGCACGTTTAGGCGACCGAAAGAATTAAAAAGTTCTGTTGTCTCCTGTAGCCAAGCACTACTTGGTAGGTGGTCTTCTGGTCAACTGCCATACCTGTGTGTATGGCAATCAGACGAGTCGGTACTTTTAACTAGATCGTCCCACCTTGGAGGACTATTTAGCATGTGTACATGTACACGTGTACATTGTGCGTATGGAAAATTAAAGAGTAAAATGTAAAATTAATACCGCAAGCAAACATTTATTTAAATGAAATCTTGAATAAAAAACTAATGTTTTAACAAAGATTCGGCCCATGTGTATCTTGTGGGCAGTAAGAGCCTAGTATGTCAATTCAGTTTTTCTTTTTAACCAAAGACATAACCATCTCCATCATTTGTTTGTCTTTCTCAATCTGAGCTCCTCGCTCTTTCTTTTCTACTATTCAAAGCGTTCTTTCTCGAAGGCCAACTTGTCTTTCAGGTAACTGACGTAATCTGCTGATGAATCAGTACGGCGCTTCTTAAGTGGCGGCATGATGTTGTCGCAATTTTCAGCTGAAAAAAAAGCGTATCACCAATTAATGCAGCGTCAGTTTTTTTTTACTGATATAATAAATATTAATCAATATTTGCTATTAGAGACAATTCCATGTATAGAAAGATGTGCTGTCCTTACTTTTTTTTATTATTCATTTATTCAAATACACAAAACAGGACGCCATGTGACTTTCTAAACAAGGCTTCATAAAATTTGCATTAAAAGTCAAAGAGACATGTCCTGTCAAGTAAAGGAGAAAATCGAGCTACTAGTAGTATCTTACTAAACGGCACTTACCTTGCGGATATCCTGCTTGTCATGCGACAATGTGTACCCAGTGTAGTGAAAGTAGAGATTGACTTACATTCTCTCATTTTCATTTTTTACAATGTTTGTCTACGCAGGTCTTGACATTAATTAAAGGTTGGTGGATGTATTTTCATGAACGAGAATGCGAGTAAGTTTACAAATATTGCATAAAAGGGCGATTTGTACATAAAAATTAAGTGACGATCGACGATCCACATGTACGGAGGTTCAAACGACTCAGCAAAGTAAGCACACAGGCAGAGATGTCAAAGATTTGGAAACGAGGCATTTGTCTATTAGGAAAAATATACTTCAAATATAAAAAAAAATCCGATTAAATGAAATACATACATGTCGTATTTCGTCTGATTTGCCTTTTGAAATAATTCTATGGTCCTTCCCTGATGCACTATGCGGAAACCGGCGCAGCGCAACTCGGTACACTCATTCTTTTGTCACCTTGCCTTTCATATTTAAATGCACCAAAGCAGGAGTTACGAATAGCTGAACTGGTAAATAAACTTTCCACCATGATCGTAAGTTTTCAAACTTCTTCCGGGTTCGACCCCAGTCTGCTGATAGGAAGTTCGTGAAGTGGTTATCGATTTTCAGCTTTTGGCGTTAAGACAGTAGAATGAGCGAAGAATGGCGGTAAGTTAAGGAGAAGGACTCTGTAAAATTTAGCCTTACTCTGTAAAATTTACGGTAATACACACTTGCGTCTTTATATGTAAAGAAACTCACGGAGTTTCACTGACGTGGAGATGAATAGTCATCCTAACTTATCATCTTCATCTTCGTATTCCTGAAATACTCCACGAGTCAGATTAAAGAGCCATGGTGATAACGTATTCTTTCGATATTAAGGTTACATTACAGGCAAAAGTATATATCAGTAAACCTTGAAGTTGATCCATAATACAGTATCAACGTGAGAAGCAGGTATGTTGCAAGATACAGTGTATATACTGTATATACACATGCCCATAGCTAGGGTTGAAAGAGAAAGGGGTGGGTGGGTTGCGTACAAAAAGAAAGTTACCCGATAAGACCATCTGAGGTGCAAGAGAACGAGAAGTGGGGTGGGGCGGGGCCCCTGTTTGCCCTCTTCCAGAAAAAAAATTCAATACCAGGACATATGAGCTGCACTCTGATGGACACAGATATGGCAAACGCGATTAGGAGGGCTATGCCTATACCATTGCCTATCGGAGACGTCTTGGCTACGAGCATAATGAGTATGATATAGCCACATGTAGTACTATATCCCCTACTCCTGCACCCATGTCGATCCTGTCACTATCTCATTACCTGTAAACATTCGCTACAATTAGAATATACAATGTCGGACCCAGAAGAGGGGGCAGTGGACCACGTGCCCACCCCCTCCCTCTCCATAGCTTCGGAGTCGCCTCATCACCCCCCCCCCCCTTCCCTCTTTTCTCGCAAATAGTTTAACAAGCAAAATAAGATAAACTCGAATGTTTTTCATATAACTGACAGGAAATTTGTCCTCGTCTACCATTTTTATATTTGTTTTAGCTTCGCTTGACAGAAGAATAGTTTATTAGCCTTGTGCGTTCTACTTAAGCAACATCCTGGGTCCATCGACCAATATTACCCCGCATTGGGTAATTTATAAAACTGACAGGTGAAAAATTGGTCAACAGTCGAGCAGTCTTAAAGGTATCTAGGTCAGGGCATGTAACCGCTGTGTGCCTGCTAAAGAAGGGGTTTGATCGGTGTTTATCTGGCACGCATTCTACTGATTAAGCATGGCTTAGCTTTTAAACATACTCAACCCCCTCGTCACCTTGAAGCGTGTTTTTAAAGGTATACTAGCCCGTTTGGAATAGTCCCAAAGTCTTATTTTCCGTGTCCATTTATCCTGCAAAGATACTTAAGTCTTTCTCAACTCAGACCTTAAAAAAGGATTTAAAATCCTAAAATCAAAGTATCTGAAGTCGATATATTTGCTGAAATGCTCATGAAAACATGACCATAATGACGGTGTAAAGGACTTCAAGTAGGTCCTAAATTATTGAATTATATAGTATATACCTGGCTTTTATGACACCAGGGTCTTATCGTACAATAGTGGAGGCACTTCGCCAGGACCATAAGAGATTATCAAAATGTAAGTAGGGGTTGTGCACAAGTCGTAAAATAATATATCACACTGCATTGTTTTTTTTTTTAAATTTTAAAAATGTAAAGCCACGTCTGGCCCTTTCATATTTGTCTTTCGTTCTGATGCATGGTTATGTGCATGATACCAGAAGTACGCGCGGGTTGTTCAGAACATGGACATAATAACGAATTATTATACATGTCCAAGTTTAGAAAGAATTAGCTCGCAGTAGCTCTTAATGCGCACTAACTCCACGGGGGATCTCGCTGAATGCAATCAGCTTGACAGACTAACACACCTCCCTCTGGCGTTGAGTAGAATACAGAGAAGCTGGGGAGTACATGAGTAAGTCGAAAACAAGTTATTCTGATCGGCCCCTTAGTCTGCCCTTTTTTGCTTTCGTTCATTGAAAGTAATGGCAGGCTCGCAAAATGCAATTAAGGTAATACCTACTAGGAACGCAGTAGTTTGATTATTGACTACCGACAAAAATAAGAATTAAGTAATTTTCTTTAATCAACAGCTAATAATTAAGGCCTTACTTGATTTTCATTACCATATATCATTAGTCTTGTTTTTGATTAGTATCATATAGTATGATGTAATGTTCCATGCATCAGCGTAATAAATAGCAGAAAGATATAGAAATTTGAGGTTTATTATGGTTATCAGTGCGCTGAATGGTAAATGAGTTATGTGTAGGAAGAGCGACAAGTTAAACCTTGATGGAAAACGCGCACGTATACCTTGAATTGAATGCTGCATCAGGTGAACGTGACATCAGGCATCTAAGGGAAATATCAACAAAACAAACAAGAGGAATCATTGAATATTGTGCATTTTTTCTTTTAAAAAACAACAACAAAAGGCAGCCATAAATATATGATTGCAAACACACGCACATGGGCGTACATATATAGAAAAAACACCTTGCTTTTCCATAAGAACCATATGTATATAACAAAACCATTATAAACAGGAATTCACAGGTGGTTGTTTATACAGACGAGCCTTATCCATTGATTGAGTAACAACACGCAACTGAAGAAAAGAGACGCATTGTATATGAAAACTTGAAAGCGAAGTAGCTAATGAAAGCCCGCTTTGGATGGTTACAGAAAGCAAATCATAGCGCTTACATACCTCTACTAAAATTGAAAGCAACCGTTTCTGGGCTGCACCATGGAAATATATCGTAGACTTCTACGATATAATTCCTTGGTTGATCGCTACTTTTCTCATCGTTCAATTCTTTTGTTTTTCACTCAAAAAGATCAGCTTCCCTGTAAACCCACCATGTCCGTAACCTCGGAAAAAACGACAAATAGGGACAGATTGTGCCAATATCCCTTTGAATCTTTTGATAATTCAGTATGTTAAATACTCTTTTAGGCTGCAGACACAGAAGGCCCCGCGAACATAAAATCCCTTTTAGCCAAATTCGAGGCGGCAAAACAGGAAAATGCGAACCAGGCAACAAAACCGAAACCAGCGGCCAAACCAAGGTTGACACCGAAACCCTATGGTGCTGCAGCACCTGGACCGAAACAAAGCGTCACAGAAGAAACATCGAAGCCAAAACCTAAGCCACCAACACCAGTCAGAACTACTCCTCATCAGGACTATAGTTCCAAGAATTCTCCGTCAGCCAGGTCACCCCCTGCATCGTTAGCATTTGCGGCGCCAAACAAAACCACGCAAAATGGTGATGATACAAGCCTTACAAGCCCGAAACGGTTCATCAAATCCCCTACATCAACGAATGGGTTCATTCCGCCTAAGTTTAACCCACTCGAGATCAAGGGCCGACAGCAGAGTTTAAAACACGTGCAAAATAAACGAAATAGTGCAGCTAGATATGACGCCGAAAACACCCACAGCGAAGTGAAAGTAGTGCCAGAAAAAATCGATACTTCAAACGGTTCTAAAAATGAAAACAATGCAAGTGACGATAGAACAGAAAAGTTTGTTGAGTTGAAAATCCCGCCACTAGAAGACGACGACCCTCCTAATCGACCGCCACTACCAAAGGCGTACAAACTTCCTAAGTATGATGAGCTTGCTTTACAGCTGTTAGAGCATCCATTATTTTCGACATTTGGGGTTCAGACGAGAGCAGCGACCAGTAAGTAGAAATTTTAAGAAGTTAAAGAAAAAGCGAAAAATAGCTTAAGAAAGAAAAGTGCAGCGGGTTATTTGTTGATTTTCTTTTGAAAGACGTGTATTTTTTCAGCTCACTCCCAAATAAGTTTTTCGGTAGATAAATTTCAATAATAAACAATTACTATCATGTTGACTTATTAATCTAGACTTGGTATATGAAAAGGCGACATAGCAAAGATATTTCTCTTCTTTCTACGCACATTCTGTTCGACTAACTTGCATTTGAAAGCAGTGCTTACTCCGTTTTTCATATGTTTATTCTAAATTCAACCTAGCGACAGCAGGAAATGGCAACACACGGCCAATATCTGAGGACGACTACGATGACTTGGAAGGAGCACTAGCTGCAGTTAGAAACCTGCCATCACGTCCGCGTGCTTCTATACCGGGAAGGCGGTCGGAAATCACCTCTTTAATGTAACTCTTTCACAACTGTTACTCTCTCTCTCTCTCTCTTTCTCTCTCTCCATCACACACACACACACACACAAACTATAAATATGAAATGGTAGAACCATTTGGCAATTTACTCTTATAAGACTGCCACAGGCATGAGAAGTTGCTTGGTTTCGATTCGTTTTGCAAATTTAACTGTTTTTCAGGGAGGAAGAAGAGTGTAAAGTGTATCTACGGGTCGCGTTTGGCTTATTGCTTATCTACCAGTGTCTGATTGGAGACCAATATAATATTTTAAACAACAACAAAACGATGTCTTTCTGTCTTGCATGCAGAATATATATATATTGTTTGTTATACTTCTGTAGCCCGGAATTCACCGAGGAAGAGGAGCTAGAACAAGATGATGATGAGGAGGAGGACTTCTATCAGCCTATAGGAGGTATATACTTAGATATCTGTTCATTAATATTCATTCACTCAACCCCCCCCCCCAAAAAAAAAAAAAAAAAAAAAAAAAAAAAAAAAAAAAAAAAAAAAAAGCAGGCAAGGATAATTACTGGCGGAAAATGTCACGTGGAAACAAATTACCATGGTGATGCCAATCATTTTCAAAAATAGACCAACACCAACCATACATTATACCAGGGAATTATATCCGATATAATTCCCTGATTATACCAAGCTCCTCCTTTCAATAGATTTGAATGTTTGGTTGGATTTTAATTGACGTTTGATTTTATTATGCTTATTGAACAGGCCTCCTCTCACTTTTTCTTTTTCTTTCATTTTCCTTTATTTGTGATATTTCAGGTATAGAAAACAAGCTTTAAAAACGTGCTTGCCAACAAAAACGCTAACTTTGTTTAAATAAAAAAGAAAGCACCTACTTAGAACAATAATGTCAATTCAATTCAAAGATAGACATATCCAATTTTTTATCTTATTGTGTTTCATTTTATTTTATTACACATTATTCATATCTGATTCAGAAATGAGAACAGCCATTTTGTAATTTTGACCTTTTCTTCGTCTTTCATCGTATTCTATCTGTTTATTTGTTTATTCTTTTAATAATTTATTCATCTATTTGAGTCATTCTTTTAATCTAAATATTGCAGCTCCTCTTGGTGAAGACCCGGACGACCCAAACCCAGACTATGACGACATTAACGACCTGAGGAGGAGTGAGTTGCTGAGGAATTCCCAGTAAGTAAACAAGGCTAAACTGATATAAAACGTTCATTAGCTTGGTAGTTGGATCATCAGTCTGATGAGGGCCTACGCCCAGGTTGGCCGTAAGCTAACGGTATGAAAGTATTTCGGCTTGTGTTTGATAATTATCATATCAGATCAAACTGATACGGATTATGTGCTTATGCTTACAAGTATCGGGGGGAACTGTTCCGGTGCATGTGCTCATAATATTACTTGTGATCTTTACAATACCCTCCGATGGCCTAAGGAAGGGGGTGCGTACCCTCTACCAGGGTGGCAGATTCTATAGGGAAAAATGAGAAAATCAGAGATAGTAAAATGACCGTCTATTTATCTTAAGACATATCTGTGAATATCCTGTGAAAAGTCAATGTGTGGCCTTGGTAGAGGGTAGGGGAGATTGGGTCTAGTTGGACCCCGGGGTAAGTTGCCCCTCCCCCCCCCCCCATCAATTTTTGACAAAGTAACTATGGGGTAAAAAATTGATCACATCATTTTGTAAAGTGACCGTATCCAATAGTGCTAAGAAAGCGTCGGCAGTGAGTCCAAATGAAATAATTTAGCATCTTTAAAATGTAATTTATTAAAGAGACTGGATGGGGTGGGGGGCAACTTACCCCGGGATCCAACTAGCCCCGGTCTCCCCTATACAGGGGGTGTGTGGGAAGTACAACTCCATGCATCCGCCACACCCACGCCTAAATTTTCCCTTTGATATCAGGGACCTCCAAAGAGCATAGAAAAATTAAGTATTGCGATCCCCTGCCTTTTAGATGCCACGGGAAACACCGCCAGAAGTATAAAGGTACCTGTAGTTTCAAACTGACCTATATGAAACCCAGGGTGCTTTGCGGCCACGACACAAGAAGTATGTGGTATTCTTACTTTCACATCGTAGTGTTTTTTCTTCCAGGTTGGAGAATGGGGCTGACAGGGATTTGGAACCGGAGGACACGTATGAATCAATATGAGGCTTATAGCCACTGTACATTAATGTCAGTAGAGGTCATCAGTGGAATACAATTATTTATTCTATATTCGAAAAAAAAAAACGGTGCGATTTTTCTGACAGGAAAGCCTCAGCTGATTTATACCTTGGGCACAGACAATTTAAGGCAATTCACAGAAAAAAGAAGTATTTTGAATGCCTTCTTGTGTTTGGTAAAAGAACTGCGAGTGTACAGACAATATTTCCCTCTAGATGGATTTTATCCGTAAATATTTTATTCAAATTCTTTTTATATTTTGTTAAAGACGAATTTATTTAACAGTGCTAGATGTAAGCTACATTAATGAGGCTGACTGACCTAATAAACGGTGCAAGGCAAATACAATTGCCCCAAGGTCTCTTTGCAAAACTAGAGCATCAATATTTTCTCGAGTCAGTTTAATGTTATTTTTAAATTACATAATTTATGAGTCTTGTCATAGACGTTGTATGCAGTGACACATACCCTTATGTTTGCGATAAGGGCAATGAGTCGACGTTTTCAATTACGAAATTATCAGCCTTTCAGATCCATAATTTTGGAATCATTAAAATTCTATTTTAAGATAGCATTTGTGGTGTTTTTACGGTATAGAATAGAACTGCAGAGTAGCTTGGTTTTCACTTTTGCTACTACGACTCAATGGAACTTTTAATAGCAATAGTTAATGGAACAAACTACAATATCTTTAGAATTTACAGTTTTCCCCATTGAAACGATTGAGCCACTGCCGTATATGGTTCAGTATTGTAGCACGGTGTAGAATTAGTAAGGTATACGGTATAGCAAGATTCATGTACCAAGTGCTGTACAATACTGTACATTTTGCGTTGTTTTACTTTCAGCTTCTGTTTTGTTTGCATATGTTTTTAAGTAATCTGTTTGGTAATTCAAAAGCCGTAGCTTCATCTTTACCATACTTTCATGTCACCAGTCTTGCTGTATCTAATAAAAACACAAAACTTATATGATTTTAGGCTTGTTCTGCTTCTTTAATTCATCTACAGGTTATTGCATTTTTGGTATTATTCTTGTAACGATAAAAACAAGAAGCCATGTGCAAGTAGTGTTCGTTCCAGAACTAATTCTTCTATGGGCACAGGAAACGAACCTCGTAGTCCTTGCAAGCCTGCCCGAAGGCCTGATCCGCATTGACGCAAACGAGACCCTCAGAAGGAGTGCATTTATTTTTGAAAACCTGCCCGGTTTGGTTCCATGGTCGCTCAGTGGATCTTTCACGACACTGGATGTCAATAGGTTCGTGGCTGTTGCACTGAAACAAGGACGATAGAAATTAAATTTTAAAAAAGAAAAGAAAAGAGAAAAAAGAAAAGAAAAATTTAAGAAAAACAAGTCTATTGCTTACAGTTAGCTTTATTATCTTGTATTTGTATAGATATCAAAATCATTTTAAATGCATTGCGCTTTTGTTTCATAAGTTTAAGATTTTTTGTTCACTGAAAGTACACTATAAACTGAGGAAAAAATATGATATTAATTTGAAAAAATCATGCTTTGTGTAGTGTTACATTTAATTGGACACAAATGGCAGATAGATAATAGTCTACATAAAAATCGCACTGTTGTTTTAAAATGTACAGGATATGTCATAATAAGGCATGGGAACAGCTATTAATTAACTAAATGCGGGAAAATAGCGATACCGGGTTGTGTCCTGTTGGTCCGACGTGCTCCCAATCTCCAGTAACACTCGGACTGTCTCTGTTCAGCCAGTTCGTCCAGCGTGCGCATGTCGGGCAAGTTCCTAGAAGTCAATTATAGGTCCATTATAGCCATTAACAGTAACGAGTAACGCTGTAACTTGAAAAAAATGGGGAGAAAAGATATACGTATATGTTTCTGCGTTTAAAATTCGAAAGAGTAGTCAGTCGGTGAGTTAAAATGCTATGAAAAGCGCCAGAGTCACTTACATATATCCGTTGTGCTCCCACCAAGTTCTTAGGTTATCAGGCGCACTCTGTTACCTTGTTGAGTTTGGCCCTATTCAGAATAGGGACTAACTAGTCCGAGGGCCAATTATGGCCGACCCACTTGCATACTTCCCCACGGGATATCTATTCGGTGTCTATTATATATAAATGTGCACGTGCACACACATACACACACACACGCATACATATTGTATACACGCGGGAGACAGAGTTCAATTCCATTCGAAATTTGAAAGTGTTACAGTGCTCCGCCGCAATGCTTACAAGCCTGTGGTTCAGAGACGAGGTGGACCAGCTAAATATTTTCATATTGTATAAAGTAATGATAATATTTATTAATATATTTGATTATACATGAAGAAACTGACACACATCAGAACTGTCTTTTGGGATAAAAGTTTACCTACCGATGACAGGGCAGCGAAACTGCACTTCGTAATCTCTGCAGTATTTGCCGTTCACGTCAGTGGAACACACGAGTCCAGTGTCCCAGCCACACGCCAGCCCAGCCCGGCGTCTTGTTGCTCTTGTCACGGCAGAGCGTACATAGGGGTCGTACACCACGGCAAATGTTGTTATTATCAGTTGTCTGCAAAGAAAATAGGTCCTACATGTACGGTTATTTCTCACAGATTTGAAACACCCGTATTGGCCTTATACTTTCTCTCTTTGCCAGATTTCTTCACAAGCAAATAAGGAGTTTTTTAAAAACATAGGCTCATCTGCTAAACCATAGCTGTAATCATTGTCAGTGCTTATTTCCGGAAATGTCTGAATAATGATAATTTGTCTGGATCTAATAAACAAATTGCTGTGAACAAACTTTTCGGTTTTTCAATGTTAAGGTTTTAACAGGACTGCTTATTATGCATTAAATCTTTTCTAATCTTTTTTACAAAATAAACGTACAAAATATTTTACAATATTTAGATATTCAGAAAAGAAACAGGTCGCAATTGTGTATGATTTGAAAACTCATTTTTTCACAATACCAATGCGTAGATTAAAATAAAAAACTAAATTTTTGATTACCCGAAAACTAGACACGCTTTCCCAGTCCCCAGTCGCACTTGGGTCATCTCTGTCCAAATATGGTCCAGTTTCCACCTCTACAAATGTAAAACGTAAATAATGATGATAAAATTAATATAATGATGATAACGACAAGCCTTCTAAAAACCGGGCCCCAGAAGTCGTAAGGGTAGTAGAAATGTCTAAAGCACTTTGTACAGTTTTGTATTAAAATGTATGGATGGGTTGTTTAAACTCTTTCTTACTTGTAGAAGGACAGAGAAACCGTATCTCGTAGTCTTTGCAATAGCTTGTAGGGTCTTGTTCGCCGTTCCTGCATATCAGACCCTTAGTTGGGAGGCAGTTGGCAGCGAGCTTATCGGGTGCAGAACCCCTCCAGCGCGTGAAGACAGTAGAGGAGCCTTTAACACGACACTCGGCCCCAATCGGCTTGCAGCCACCACAAATGTAGTGAGTCTTCTGAAATTGATAGACACATAGGTAGGAACACTGCTCTTTCTTTTCTTTGATACCGGTATAATGTGACAGAGAGTCCCCCATGTAGAGAGTCCGCTCCCATTCATTTGTACATCTATATATGACAATGTGATTGTGCTCATCTATTTCTTATTTGCTGTATCCCTCAGCTCTTTATAACCCCCATCTATACCCCCCACGCACACACACACACACACACACACACTCACACAGCTAGATCCTGCATTCGCCGGTCGATAAGAAAGAAAGAAAGAACAGAAAAGGCAGACACCACGTACCCGCAGATCAGCGACAGTTTCCCAGTCGCCGGTAATCGAGGGGTCGTCGCGATCGTACCATCTGGACCAACTGTGACCTGTGCAATAAATAAATAAATAAACAAACATTTTGGTGTTCTGAATTGGTTTTCGAAACAAAATCGTCTTTTTTTCACATTTTCAGCTTCGTAACACACAGTCATAACGCAAAGGAACAAATTTTAGTCCTTTTTCTTTAACTTACACAATCAGTTATATGCATTTTCAAGAAAAAAGGTATTTTTTTTGTATTATGCGTTTCTTGTTTTGCAGTCAGTAAGTAAGTAAAAACATTATCACCGCCACTGAGGATGAATTTTGTTGTTTTTTTTTCAATCAAATAACAGAAAAAAATAAACCTGAGATGCACATACCTTGTATTTGAACAACAATAGAAAGACACAACGCGGCGAAGAGCATCATTGTGGTCTCCATTGAATATTAGCTGTGATAACAGAATTGTCACCTGAAAGGATATAAATATTAAAAATGCAGAAAGAATTTGAGGCAATCTTTTGCTCTTTAAGTCTTAAAGTATACATTCTGTTTTCAATCTCAAAACATCCTAGATAATAACCTTCAAAGCAAAAATTTTTTTCTGTAGTGAAAGCAATGCTACTTAAACCGCTTCTAATTGAATCATTAAAACGAGCCATTGCATGACTTATCTTATTCACTTGCTCATAATAATGAATGAAACTCCCCCGCGAGCTGTTCTTACAGTGCCTTACCTGTACCTCTTCAAATGCCAATTCTACCGACGTAGTCGCTGCTTATATAACATAACCCAAGCCTTGGCCTACCCTTAGGCAATGCCAGACACCAAAATTAATATTATTGTTCTTTCTCATCAATCATGGAATTTCCTTTTCCCACAAACTCGTTTAAAGACAGACAATGAGCGTTCGACCTTCATAGAGCAAAAACAAAAAATGAATATCCTTGAAATGTGATACTTGCTGGCGGTACATATTTTTTCTAACTAACAATTAAAGCATCAACTTGTGGTAAAAATAGTAATGTGAACCGTTTAATAAAATACGCACTGTAAATGTGACAAAAACAAATATTAATAAAAAACATTCTTTTTGTAATGCTCTGGTAAATTTGACACAAATGACAGATAGATGATAGTCAAATTATCACAATATTATATCAATGTAAATAGGCAATGGAAATGTATATGATCTGTATCAACTTATTGGTGATATTAACAAGTTCCGTCCTGTTAAACCTAAGTGTTCCCTTTCACTGGTGGCAATAGGACTTTCAACCTTATTCACTTGTACTTGCTTATCTTATCCATATTCCACTGTCTGTCCAATTCCACTTTATTTACTTATTGGTGTGATTCGTGTTGCAACGCCTGTCTGTATTTAAAAAATCTTATTTCGCTATTCTTTTTATATTTTGTTAAAGACGAATTTATTTAACAGTACAAGATGTGAGCTACATTAGCGAGGCTGTCTGAACTAATAAACGGTGCAAGGCAAATGACAATGCCTCCAAGGTCTCTCTTCAAAAAAAAAAAAAAAAACAAAAAAACAAAAACAAAAAGAAAAAAAAATACTATGGGGGAAATTACTGCACAAAGCATCTGTTTTTTCTCGTTAAAAAGATTCAGTTTAATGTTATTTATAAATTACGTAATTTATTAGTCCTGTCTAAGACGTTGTATGCAGTGATATAGAGCACTAAATTTGTTATAAGGGCAATGGCTCGACGTTTTCATTTGTGAAATTGTCAGTCTTTCGGATCCATAATTTTGGAATCATTCAAGTTTTATTTGAAGATAGCATTTGTGGTGTTTTTAAGGTATAGAATAGAACTACAGAGTAGCTTGGTTTTCTCTTTTTCTACTACAACTCAATGGAAAAGTTTTAATCGCAATAGGTTATGAAAAATTACAAGATCTTTAGAATTGACAGTTCTTCCCATTGAAAAGAGTGAGCCATTGCAGTATATGGGTCAGTATTGTAGTACGGTATAGAATTAGTAAGGTATGTACATGTAAGTGTACATTACAGCAAAGTACGGTACAGTATTGTACAGCACTTTGAAACCACACATATGGCGGCTCTATAAGTAAATAGGAAAAAAGACAAGTGCATCACACTGAAACCTGATGTATAAAAGGTACATTGTCAATAGTAATGCAAAGTGGCCCACGTTGCACCACATTAAAAAAGGCATATAGTGCTCGCTCCTCCCACACCCATTCGACCCTTTATGTTACTAAATACACCAGTGAATGAGATTTTCCGTTGTTTTACCTTCAGTTTCTGTTTTGTTTGCATATTTTTAAAGTAAATTGTGTGGTAATTCAAAAGTCGTAGCTATACAAATGTATGTCACCAATATTGCAGTATCTAATAAAAACACAAGACTTATTTGATTTTAGGCTTGTTCTGCTACTTTAATACAGGTAATTGCATATTTGGTATTATTCTTGTTACGATTGTTACGATTAAAACAAGAAGCCATGTGAAAGTAGTGTCCGTTCCAGAAGTTTTTCTCTTCTATGGGCACAGGAAGCGGACCTCGTAGTCCTTGCAAGACTGTCTGGAGGCCTGATCCGCATTGACGCAAACGAGACCCTCAGAAGGAGTGCATTTATTTTTGAAAACCTGCCCGGTTTGGTCCCATGGCCGCCCGGTGGATCTCTCACGACATTGGATGTCAATAGGCTCGTGGCTGTTGCACTGGAACAAAAGGAGTATAGAAATTTAAATGGAAAAAAGAAAAGAAAAGAGAAAATAGAAAAGAAAAATATAAGAAAAACAAGACAATTGCGTAAAGTTAGCATCATTTTCTTGTATTCGTATATAGACATCAAAATCAGATCAAATGCATTGTATTATGATTCAAAAGTTTCAGATTTTTGTGGACTGAAAACGCACCGTAAACCGAGGAAAAATATGATATTAATAAGAAAAAATCATGCTTTGTGTAGTGCTACAGTTAATTGGATACAAATGGCAAATAGATAATAGTCTACATAAAAATCGCACTGTTGTTTTTAAATTTACAGGGTAGGTCATAATAGGGCAATATTAACAGCTATTAATTAATTTAATGCGGAAAAATAGCGATACCGGGTTGTGTCCTGTTGGCCCGACGTGCTCCCAATCTCCGGTAGCAGTAGGACTGTCTCTGTTCAGCCAGTTCGTCCAACGTGCGTTTCCACATGTCGGGCAAGTTCCTAGAAGACAATAATAGGTCCACTGTAGCCATAAACAGTAACTAGGAACGCCATAACTAGAAGAAATTGGAATATATATATATATATATATATATATAGAGAGAGAGAGAGAGAGAGAGAGAGAGAGAGAACGTCTACCTTCAAAAGTCAAAAGAGTAATCAACCGATGAATGAAAAATGATGTAAAAAGCACCGGAGTCACTTAGATTTTCTCCACTGAGTTTTTATGTTACCTTGTTGAGTTTTAGATACGGTTGGCCTTGCCTGAAACAGTATGGGGTGTTAATGTACACTTTGGAAGTGTACACTTTGTAATTGGCATTAAAATACCCATAACAACTGGTATAGCATATATTTGCTACAATTTGCACCTACCAAATCACCATACGACTAACGCTACTCTTCCTCTGTTTCAGCGCATAGGCACGCATACATACTGTATTCACGCGGGGAGAGAGAGTTCAATATTCCATTCGAAATTTTAAAGTGTTACAGTACTCCGCCGCAATGTTTACAAGCCTGTGGTTCAGAGACAAGGTGGACAAGCTTAATATTTCCATATTGTATCAATTAATGAAATTATTTATTAATATATTTGATTTAACACGACGAAACTGACACACATTAGAACTGAAGTTTGGGATAAAAGTTTACCTACCGATGACAGGGCAGCGAAACTGCACTTCGTAATCTCTGCAGTATTTGCCGTTCACCTCAGTGGTACACACGAGTCCAGTGTCCCAGCCACACGCCAGCCCGGCATTGAACTTGTCCCCAGTGCTGTAATATGGCGTCTTGTTGCTCTTGTCACGGCAGAGCGTACAAAGGGGTCGAACACCACGGCAAATGTTGTTATTATCAGTTGTCTGCAAAGAAAATAGGTCTTACGGTCATTTGTCACAGATCTGAAACACCCGTATTGACCTAATACTTTCTTCTTTGCCAGATTTCTTCACAAGGAAATATGGACTTTTAAACAATAGCCCATCGTGCTGAACTATAGTTGTAAGCATTGTCAGTGCCTATTTCGGGAAATGTCTAAATAATAATTATTTGTTTGGATCAAATAAACAAATTGCTGTGAACAAGCTTTTCGGTTTTTCAATGTTAAGGTTTTAACAGGACCGCTTTCTATGCATTAAATCTTTTCTAATCTTTTTTTACAAAATAAACGTACAAAATATTTTACAGAATTTACAGGTCGCAATTGTGTAATAATATAATAATAATAAAACACTTCTTTAAAAACCGCGCTACACATGCGTCTCAGCGCTGTTTACATAAAAAAAATATAAACTCCACAGATAAATTAAAGCCAGTATAGACTAAAAACAGGATACTTAAAAATTTTAAAAACTAAAAAGATGCTATAAATTAAAGTATTCTTTAAATAAAAAAGTTTTTAAATTCTTCTTAAAACAGTAATATGAGTCATCCAGAGACCGAGTGTATGATTTGAAAACTCATTTTTTCACAATACCAATGCGTAGTTATAAAACTAAAATTTTGATTACCCGAAAACTAGACACGCTTTCCCAGTCTCCAGTCGCACTTGGGTCATCTCTGTCCAAATACGGTCCCGTTTCCACCCCTACAAATGTAAAACGTAAATAACAGTGATAAAATTACAAAAATAATGATAATGCCAAGCCTTCTAAAAACGGTTCCAGAAGTCATAATGGAAGTATAAATGTCTAAAGCACTTTGTTATTTTAACTTTTAGTTTTCAATTAAAATATATTAAAATGGGTTGTTTAAAGTCATTCTTACTTGTAGAAGGGCAGAGAAACCGTATCTCGTAGTCCTTGCAGTAGCCTCCAGAGCCTTGATCGGCGTTCTTGCATATCAGACCCTTAGTTGGGAGGCAGTTGGCAGCGAGCTTATCGGGTGCAAGAACCCCTCCAGCGCGTGAAGACAGTAGAGGTGCCTTTAACACGACACTCGGCCCCAATCGGCTTGCAACCACCACAAATGTAGTGAGATTTCTGAAATTGATAGAGAAATTGGTTGGAATGCTGCTTTTTCTCTTCTTTGATAGCCTCTCAAAATCGTGTAGGCATTCAAACCCATTTGACTATCACTGCTGTGAGTAACAATGACGTATGTGTGGAACAAAGTGGCTTCAACATCACCTTCTTTTCACTATAACAAAAGAGAGCGAGACAAAACACGCCACCATTTTCAAATCTGAGAACTATGGATGACAATGTGATTGTACTCATCAACAACTATTTCTTATTGGCTACATCTCTTCGCTCTTTATGCCCCCCATCTCCCCCACCACCCCCCACCCACCCACCCACAGCAAGATCCTGTATTCGCCAGTCAATAAGATGTTCAAACAGAAAAGGCAGACACCACGTACCCGCAGATCAGCGACAGTTTCCCAGTCGCCGGTACCCGAAGGGTTGTCGCGATCATACCATCTAGACCAACTGTGACCTGTGCAAAAAAAAAAAAAATAAAATAAAATAAATAAAAAATAAAAAACCATTTTGGTGTTCTGAATTGCTTTTCGAAACAATATCGTCTTTTTTAAATTTTCAGCTTTATAACACACAATCAAAACGCACATGAAAAAATTTCAGTCCTTTTTTCTTTAACTTACACAATCAGCTATATGCATTAAAAAAAGGTATACAGTACTTCTGGTATTGTGTACTTCTTTTCTTGCAGTCAGTAAGTAAAACCATTACAATCATCGCCAGTGTGGATGAATTTTGTTTTGGACAAATAATAGAAAAAAAAAATGAAATCGAGGCGCACGTACCTTGTATTTGAACAACAACAGAAATACACAACGCGGCGAAAAGCACCATTGTAGTCTCTATTGAACACTAGATGTGATTGTTACCTGAAAGGAAAGAAATATTGAAAATGCGGAAAGAATTTGAGGCAATCTTTTGCTCGTTTACGGTTTAAAGTATACATTCTGTTTTCAATCTCAAAAGATCCAAGATAATTACCTACAAATCAAAAATTCTTTTAGCTGTACTGAGAGCAATGCCACTTAAACTATTTCTATTTGAATCATTAAAACGAGCCATTGCGTGACTTGTCTTATTCACTTGCTCATGATATATCTAGTGTTCATATTATAATGAATGAAACTCCCCCGCGAGCTGTTCTTACAGTGCCTTACCTGTACCTCTTCAAATGCCAATTCGTCCGTCGTGGTCACTGCTTATATACCATAACTCGAGCTTTGGCCAATCCCCAGGCGATGCCAGACACCAAAATTAATATCATTATTCTTTTCATCATCATAACAATCATGGGATTTCCATTTCCACAAACTCGTTTAAAGACAGACAATGAGCGTTCGACCTTCATAGAGCAAAAACAAAAAATGAATTTTCTAGAAATAATATACTTGCCGGCGGTACATTTTTTTCTTACTAACAATTAAGGCATCAACTTGTGGTTAAAATACAAACATTCAAAGAGTTAAATTAAATGTAATGTGAACCATTAAATTAAATGTGCACTGTAAACGTGACAAAATAAATATTTATAAAAAACATTCTTTTTGTAATGCTATGGTAAATTTGACACAAATGACAAATATATGATAGTCAAATCATCATCATAGTATATCAATGTAGATAGGCAATGAAAAATGGAAATGATCTTTATTAACTTATCGGTGATATTAACGAGTTCCGTCCCGTTAAACCTAAGTAATCCCTTTCATTGTTAGCAATAGGACTTTCTCTATTCAACCTTATTCACTCGTACTTGCATATCTTATCCATATTTCACTGTCTTTCCAATTCCACCTTATTTACTTATTGGTGTGAATCGTGTTGCACTGTGCACGTGTCTGTTTTAAAAATCTTATTTATGTAGCCAAATGTTAACAAGCACAACGAAGCTCTGTTTTTGCTCCAAAGTAAATAAGAAAAGTCCATATGATTGATAATTGTCATTTATTAATGACGAAGCTAATAAAATACGTAGTTACAAAACTGGGGAGATAATATAACATCTCCCCAACTATATAAGTGCCATAATATAAAATTAATAAAGTGTAATAAGTGTAACCAAATTAATGAAGAAAATTATAAGTAATAACAACAGCTTAAGGAGCAAAAAGTTGGCACAAATAAAAATAAAAAGGNCAAGACCTAAACCCAGACTACTTCCTATAAACAAAGCGTAGATGGATTACCAACAAAGCTATTACCACCACTAAAAACAAACCATTTCCTACATAAATACAATTAATTATCTTAATTGTAGTTTTAGCAATTCATAGTAAATATTGTAAACCACAGCTCACCTCAAGATGTCTTTCTTCTCAACTTAAGATATTCTCTAGTAAGTACATACTGGCCAGAGATAAAAGACATACGCCAAACCCTTTCTTAGCGAGGGTGTAACGTGGTTAACACGTCCCAACCCCCCCTCCCCCCCCTCCCCCACCCACCCCCACCTAAACCCAATCGAGCCTGAGAGTGAGCAAATTAGGGGCCATAAGCGCACAGGGGAAGTTTCCGACAAGGAGACGCTAGTCACAGTAGACAGGCTTCATTAATTATGATAAATGTCCACAATACCAGTAAAGTGTAAAGTGATCTACGGAAATTTCACGTTCTCCCCTCGCTGACAGCACTTTTATTCTTTTACAACTTTTTTTTTAGGGGGGTGGGGGTGTAAAATTGTTCGGCTAGGTCTGATGGTTAAAAAGTATAAAAAGCTGCAAACTTTGTGCTTGTTCAGCAAAGTTTTCTTCTAAACATACAGTATTTGAATTATATAAACGGGTTTGTTGATAAAACTGAAAAAGGCCAGTGAAAAAACGAGAGGGTGACACAACAATGTTCGCTTATTACCCAATCAGGAAAGTTCAACACCGTAAACATGTCATCAAAATTGTATTTTCTAATTCGTCATATCTGTCGTGCAAGCCTCAAAATTCCGCACAGGTGCCGCAGGAGTGTCAAGGTCACTGTATAAATTTGAAAGAGACGAACTACATAACATGCATATAGTTATATTTTCAGAAGTGAAGGTTAGAGCGCGCACAGAAATAATTTGATCTACAAAAAGTTGCATCATTTGACGATGAGTGCCAGGTCGTTGTGACCCAGATACCCCCATCCGTTTTCACAAATACTCTCTAGTGTAAAATGATCATTATTATCAAAATTTGTAACGACTGGAAGAAGAGTTTATTGCAGATAACGTTAGTTCTAAAAGAAGTACATGTGCACCCTGCATAACTTTTTAAAAATTGTTTTTTTTCTGATTTTGACCTTTATATTTCGGATTTTCAACATATAAACACCCCTTTCTCTTTCAAGCATTTCTCTGTATTCTTCCACGAGGTCGTAAAGCTTATATTGAATACCTGTATAGAATTAAGTAGCGTGGATAAGCGGTGAGACAAATACAAATAAAAAGCGCGGAGCATTCAAGTTATTGGTCGGATTCCCACCAAAATCCTGCGTTATCAGTACACATGTACCAAAACAACACCATAAAATGCACTGTTTTACCTTGTTGAGTTTGTCTGGGTATAACGTGGACCATGTATGGCAATGTACGGCTATGGGATGTTAATGCTTGTTGCATAAGTGCAATTGTTATTGACGTAATTCATCAATTCGATCGTGTTGCGCAAAGAGTCCATTTGACATGAAATAATTTACAACTGGCACTGACAGGAAGCTAGTTTGTTTGGTGCAGGTCCCCTCCTGTGGTTTTAAAGACAGCAGATGAGACGGTCCAAAACAGTTCAAAATGCAAAGACCTTCAAATACGGGAGAAAGGAAGGACTACACGTGCCAAGATTAGTTTAAAAAAAGAAAAGAGGAAAGAAAAACTTGGGGTCCCATGGTCTGGTCAAGTGCAGGGATATAGATCCAGTAAACAGTAATATAGCGGTAGTGTTACACTATCTATTTTCACTCTTAAATGTAAATCCAAACCACAAAAGAGAAGTCTAAACAAGAAACTAAAGTGTCTTCAAAGTTATACATTTTAAATAATAAATATCCACCCACTTTAAGCTGACGGAAAAGGGAGATCAGGTAATGATTCTAAAGTTGAGGAAATAGTTGTGGTTCATTACTGTCATTTGGCTTTTTTTTATCTCTTCCACCTAAAAAAAGTCATCAGAGGTGAGGTAATTTGGTTTAAGCCAGTCCCAGGTACGAGTCCCAGGCACGTAGTTGTGACGGTACTCGGATAATATATTCATGTTTAGGGCAACTAAAAGAAGTAATGAAGTCCCAGTGTTCAGTTTTATGTATCTTGTTTACCAACCGGACACAAACATAGAGTCAGAGATAGAGTAAAGAAAAGAAAACGTTAACCTGTGTCCTTGTATGAAAATAATAGTAATGATAGATGAGAAATTTACTTTTTTTTACAAGAGATAGATTTGTATATAGATTGGTAGATTTGTGGCGTGTGGCATGAAACTGGCATCGCTGTGGTCGTAGAACGGAGGCACAAACATCACTTTGGTTGCAAAATGAATGCTCAATGATCGGCCAGTTGTCGGTTCGTAAAGTATTATTTTTAACTCTCAAACGGGGCCGCACTGCGGGACGCAGAAAGGATGCCGGCCAGTGTAAAGAGGACTTAACCAACCACGGTTACAATATAGCAAAACGACTGTATACATATATAATGTATCTACATTTTTGCCAGCCGCAGGAGAAAGTGACATGCTGCGTAGGTCTACATTGTGTGTTCATTTGATATTTTAATATTAAAAAAACTACGTAAAATTGTAGATAATAAATCTTTATTAGTTACACTTTTTTGGTCAGCACGGAATGAGTTAAAATAGTTTTGATAAATCAAATTTAGGCATAAAATTGTTTTATAAATGTAAAAACATTATAAATATCTCTATAAAAAACTCGGCTGTTTAGCATATATTATCTTTCCATTTAAATCAATAATAAAAGATGAAATATGTTAAAAATCACCATTTTACATAACAGTTATAACCATCGTGTTTTCCAAGTGTTCATACATAAAACAATAAAGCACATATCGCTAACAAAAATCAGCTGCCAAGTGAAATTGCAAACCCCGAGAAATACATGAGAAGGAAACCGATAGTGTAATTCCTTTATACTAGGCTATATGTTATAAAGGATATATGTCTATGCCATGATAATACGTTAAAAAAAGGAAGATGCTGCATAAAACAATACATTATACCTCTCTTTCCCTTTCTTGTCCTGTGGATCTTGTCTTGGGCAGCGTTCCGGGTAGTATTGATAGAAACCGTCAACACCCACTATATATACTTTTGTCAATGACACTGTAACAATATAGTACTCTCTTGGACTACAAATATAAAAAAACGTGGTAGTCCTATGGCGTATGGAGGTATTTTCTGGGCATTTTACAAGTCTTTATATCCCCATCATTACCATAGTACTGAAAGACGAAAGGTAACGGTAATATGCACTTGGCAGTCAAACAATTTATGATAAGATAATGGGCGTTTCTTAAGTGAATAACTCTTTGGCATTACCTAGATTTCGGCGCTTGCAGATTTAAAATCCATCTTAAAAAATAATACTTATTTCTTTATTATTTAATGTTAAAATTGTTAAATTGTACTAGGCAAATTGTGGTGAAAGTCAGATATCCTCGTTGAATGAGAACAGTGGGCTTTATAATTACCTTGAGAACTTGAAGGACCTGTTCAAGCCTTAAAGGGATAACAGCTGTTCGTAAGATATCCATATTTCACAATCAATACATTGTAAACAACTCATAGAAATGTAACAAATTCTATTTTCCCACCAAAACGGCGGTAAACTCAATTATTCTTGAATTTGTACTTGCCATCACATCACGTGACCTCCATAGATGGCTACACTCTGTAATAATCTCTCACAAAAAATTATTGCAAAAAAAACAAACTCTTAAAAAAAACAGGGACTAACTTTGAATGTGGGATTGGATTCATTAATCAATTGTAAGTATGGACAATGGGAAATATTTTTTGGTCAAAATACTGTTGTTATCCCTTTAACCAAGTCGTATTAAACACTGTCATTCCCCTCTTACCTTCTGAACACCAAGAAGTTGGTTCAACACTAGCCCCGCGTCGTTGAGTATAGTGCGAGCGAAGAGGCGCCCTTTTACTTACACAGGCGCCCTCTATACACCATTTTCCTTTTCCGCAGTAAGTGCCATCCATCGGATTCAGTTGAATAGAGCAGGCCGTGGCGGTATTGCAAAGTAGAAAATGGCAAAATTCTGGAGATTCGATGGGCTGAAAGAACAATCAGAAAACATCAATTTTTAACAGAACTAATGCATATCTTTGAGAGACTTCAACACACACACACACACACACACACACACACAAAGAGAGAAGAAAGAATGGATGGAATATTTTTGAAGAAAAGTAGTAATTATATGTATGTATATAATTGAATTGAAAAGTGTTGAGTGAAGCACAAATTTTTGATAAGTGAGTGTTTAATATGGCAAAAAATTATGCTAAACACACATGTGCAACTATTTTTTTCTCACAACAGCCACTGAGGATGGTAAAATGACAATTTTCAAAATGGCGGACAAAATGCCCTAACAAGAGTTTCAACACTGACAATTAAAGGAACCTATGTTTTTATTATGCCTTTTCTTATGTTTTTAAGGTTGTAAAATATTTATTCTTATGTTAACACTGCCATTGTTGGTTGATAGTTTACTGTCAAGCTTGAAAGAAGAGCCAGATGTCAGTCAGTCAAAACGAGGAGTGATAAGATATTTCAAGTCCTGCTGGATGTGAATTATGAGGAAGAATCAGAGTTATCCTGACCCCAAGCAACCAATGGGGGAATGTCTTTAAATTATTAAAAAGAAATGGATGGAATATTTTTGAAGAAAAGAAGGGAGATTACCGTGCATGCTTTCGACTCGTTTCCAAATACCAGCTGACATTGTTCGTCTGCATTGTATTGTTCCCCGTGAAGCTTTTTCGTCAAATGTTTATATTCTTTCTCATTTTCGTAATGTCCACCGTCAGCGAGACAACAGGCATTTCTAGATGGGTGGTACAAATATAATAACATTTTAATAATTATTTTAACATTTATTTTATGCGTGGAAAATGAATATTTATCGTAAAATACTATGAACTAATATAAAACGCTGTTTTACTATCTGCATAGTGATTTTAAAAGCTTAATTTACATAAACAAAACAATACAAAAATAGTAATACAATTTTTTTTGTGTTACATACAGAACCTACTACTACTACTATTAGTATTACTTTTTCAAGTAGGTTGCTTTTCATAAAGATCTTAAAAGGCTGTCTTTTTTATTTTATTAATTATTGAGTAAATTGTGATTGGCAATTAACAAACGTTAGATATCTGGGATAGTAGCCTATTTCTTTGTGTCAAATTAATAGTTATTATAAGCCAATCATACTTAAAAATTCTTTCATCAGTATTGCACTATTGACCATTTATTGCAGTATTTACTTCACGTAGTCGGCTATCCAATTTTAGCCGTCCTAGCTAAGCTCAACATCCCGTGTTTTTTTTACGAAATTTATTTTCTTTTTCGATCAAATTGAAAAACTTATCAGGCCCGTGGTAACCAACATTTGAACAAAGCGCCGGGGGCCACTTACGTCAGGGTTTCTTTAAATTTCTCTATGGAACAAGAGGAGAACTTATAAAGTTGAAAAAGAGTCGCCACATTGAGCTCAAAAACAGAGGCAGCCATTAAGTGCCCTCGAGAGGCAGGAGTGGCGTCATGACGAGCTCCGAGGCTGGAAAAGAAAATACAATGCACAACATAATTACAATGTGGCATACGTCGTGTCATGAAATATAACATTAACATAGGGACATTTCACAGGTCGTCTAGGAAACTAAGAAAAGAAGCACTGCTTATTTTTAGAGACAAGGACCCCACTATCATAGATTATAGATCGATCTATCCCTGTGGGTAGTCTCACTGGATTACTGTCAGCTTAGCCGGCTTTTAAAAGCGTCAGCTCCATTCGATGTGTCACATAATGCTACACGCTTGGGTTAGTATACCATGACTGACATGTGACGACAACCTTTATTTCTGTTATCTGATCTTCGACTGACCTGTAGACTACTGACAAAAATGACGCGTCTTGCTCTTTCGGTATAATTTCATACAGGAATATATCTGTCAAACAGCCATAATTTCTTAGAAGCTAAATGACACTCCAAAAAAAGCCCCTCCTAAAAAGATTTATCAAACTTTTTAAAAACATTTCAGATCTTTTCTAATACCTGAAAAGCCAGCCCTGGACTATGAGAATGTAACGCTCTTTGTCGGCGACAGAAGTTGTCAAAACTACATTTAAATAAAATCTACTACTGTTCTACTCTGTTTAAAACAAATTATTCAGTATGCTGAACCAAAAATTTGCCAGCAAATTCAAGAAATCTTACCAAGAAGTGCACTTTCTATCATAAAAGAAATTGGAAAATGTGTAATATCTTTTCCTTGTTGCTGCCATGCATGTTACAAAAACTGATATAATTTAATAACTGTCAAAAATTCGTAAAGCTTTGGTTTTCAAGCAAATACAAAAAAAAAAAAAAAAATGTAAGAAACTAAGACTCCGTTCACAAGAAAAATCTTTTTACTAAAAATCTATTTTCTATTCGCGGTATCTTGTGATCACTCCGAGCGCAGCCGAGAATTAATTACAGCTTGGAAGTAACTGGCTTGCGCTGCCAGCAATTACGCCGTGGGGTATTCAGGGCACAGACCGTGATCACAAGATATTGCGAATAGAAAATAGATTTTTAGAAAATAGACTTGTCATGTGAACGGAGCCTTATTACTTGCCCCTACTTACAACAGTCTGCAACCTTAAAGATGCATACAAAGTCAATATTTTGTCACAAAAACCAACCAAATACCAGCATATAGTTTCAAGTAGTATAACTAAGAGAATTACCAAAAAGCATTGTTTAATTTTACCCGAAAATGATGTTTGAATGGATTTTTCTGCTGGCATTCTAAGCTGTATGTCAATGGGGCAGGAAAGTAGGTCACGAATGTAGGTTAAATTTACAACCATAAATTTAAAGAAGGAGCAGTCTAAAGGTCTTTTATGGCTTATCGAGTGATCTATTCAGTTTATCCCTTGGCATGTCAAATTTATTTGAGTCATATAAGAATCTAGTAGAAGTGGTTTACATGTGTTACTGGGAATCCACGCTCCACCGATGCTCGGTTCGTATGTACCTTTAACCACCGGTTCTACACCCATGGATGGTAAATTTTTGTTTGAACCAGTAGATTATCAGTAATGTTTGAATTCAGTGGTCCAACATGGCCATTAGATTTTTTTCTATAGGATTTCAAAAGTTTTCAATTTAATTTAACATTTTTAAAAATGTAACTGTTACATGATGATTCTAAATAAAAAGAAAAAAAGAAAAATACTTTGACAAAATCAAGCTCTTGTTATTACTTATATGTAATATGCATTTGAAGTCAAATTTTTACCACAAAACCCAACCAAATGCTACATTGTACCACTAGTTTCATATTTCCAGAAAATGATATTTGACTAACATTTTATTTCTTTTTGTGCTAAATTTATACATCCCTCAGTTATTTTTGGCAACTAATTTGTATTTATGCTATAGCAGGCACAGCTACATCCATACATTGGAGTGATGATAAACAATGCACACAGTACATTATTTAGCACACTTTTACTAACTAAACAAATGGATAAATAGATTAATTTCCAACTAGAAATTTGAAGGCACAGTTTTAAAGCTATTTTTGGCTATTAATTTCAGGAAAGTGGTCCAAATGGCCAGTGAGCTGATAAGTTTATGGCTTTTATTAAAATATGCAACTATAATCTGTACTCAAAGCTGGGAACAGATTTAAAGCTTTAATAATAAATATAATTATAACAGAAATAATATTCACTAACATTTTTTATAATAATTGTACCATAAACAATATGCAGACATTTGAACATGGACAACACAACTTAAATAATGTAAAATAAAACAAATAATGCAATGGCCATTATAATAGAAAATTAAAAGCTATAGCTACAACATTTAGATATAGAGCCACATAGAAATTATGTGGTGCAAATATAACAGTGAAAAACAATAAAACAATAACTCTTTGTGATGTGACACTCTTAAAGGAAAATCAATTTTAGAAACACTCTTATAAATTTCAAAATGTCAAGTACAGTGTAAAGTATCTTTTAAAATTCTAACACTAAAAATTTTTCGATGACAGTCTTAAATATTTTTTGCATTGTAATAAATATCATGTTTAATGGTAATAATGCAATAATGAAAAATATTAAACCAAAGAATACCTACGGTGCTGAACCTGTATAACAATCCATATTTCCGAGAATTTTAAATGCAGCTTAATCCAAATCATCTTTTGAAAATCAATATTCAATATTCATATCTGACCCGAACTGTACCATATATGCACTTCAAATACCATATTTTTACCATCTCATCCTGGCATTTCACACTCATCTGCATTTCATATGNTACCCCACACTGTCTGCTCCTGAAATATAGGGAACACAATTGTGTCACATCTGACCATCTCAACTACCACAATGTCTTCTAATTGTATGTCACAGTACACAACAGATTTTTCTGCTGGCATTCACTGGGGCAGGAAAGTAGGTCACGGAAGTAGGTTAAATTTACAACTAAAAATTTAAAGAAAGGAGCAGTCTAAAGGTCTTTTATGGCTGATCGAGTGATCTATTCAGTTTATCCCTTGGCATGTCGAATTTATTTGAGTCATATAAGAATCTAGTAGAAGTGGTTTACATGTGTTACTCGGAATCCACACTCCACTGATGCTAGGTTCGTATGTACCTTTAAAGGTCTAATACTTGTGAAATAATATGAAAGTCAAACCAAAGACACTTTTTCAAACCCACCCAAGTAAACTTATAACTTGTCAAGGGATAGCTTGTTGGCTATGAGCTCTTCTTTTGTTGGAATGTTTATCCCCATGTAACATGGATACTTAATTGGTGGAGAGGCCTCACGAACATGAACCTAGAAAAAAGAAAGAAAAAAAGAGTAACCAAATACTTCTTAACCATAATGTAAACCTATTGGCGAAAAATATCATTGCATTACACTGATAAAGAATGCACATTACACAGAATTTGTCCTTTGTACTTTACCTCTTTGGCTCCCGATTGCTTTAAAAGTCCCACAGTGGGTGCCATGGTGTTCCCACGAACAATGGAATCATCTATCATCTATCATCTAAGAATTAATCACATCATTTTGTAAAGTAGCCGTATGCAATAGTGCTAAGAAAGCGTCGGCAGTGAGTCCAAATGAAATAATTTAGCATCTTTAAAATGTTAATTTATTAAAGAGACTTGATGAGGGGGGGGGGGGGGGCAAACTTACCCCGGGATCCAACTAGCCCCGGTCTCCCCTATACAGGGGGTGTGTGGGAAGTACAACTCCATGCATCCGCCACACCCACGCCTAAATTTACTCTCTGATATCAGGGACCTCCTAAGAGTATAGAAAAATTAAGTATTGCGATCCCCTGCCTTTTGGGCTGTATTCCCAGAGTTAGGTCTTAGACCTCATTTCCAGAGATTAGATCGATCTACCTTAGATCGACCTAACTCCCTGGGGGTTCACGCTAAATAGCTGTCAGCCGGGCGGGCACGAAAGCTAATTACCCCCTTACAGCTTATAGTAGGCGGGACGGACATTTAAGCCAGATTATCTGACAGTAATCTAGTGAGACTCCCCGCTGGGATAGATCGATATAAAAGCTCTGGGAATACAGCCTTAGACCCTATTTCCATAGATTTTAGATCGATCTATCCCTGTGGGGAGTTTCAGTAGATTACTGTCAGCTTAGCCGGCTTAAGCGTCTGCCCCGCCCACTGAAAGCTGTAAGGGGGTAATTAACTATGGTGCACGCTCCGCTGACTGCAATTTAGCGTGAACCCCCAGGTAGTTAGGTCGATCTAAATCTTAATCCCTGGATCGATCTAAATCTCTGGGAATACACCCTTAGAGGTCACGGGAAACTCGCCAGAAGTATAAAGGTACATGTAGTTTCAAACTGACCTATATGAAACCCAGGGTGCTTTGCGGCCACCACACAAGAAGTATGTGGTATTCTTATTTTCACATCGTAGTGTTTTTTCTTCCAGGTTGGAGAATGGGGCTGACAGGGATTTGGAACCGGAGGACACGTATGAATCAATATGAGGCTTATAGCTACTGTACATTAATGTCAATAGATGTCATCAGTGGAATACAATTTTTTATTCTATATTCGAAAAAAAAACAGGTGCGATTTTTCTGACAGGGAAGCCTCAGCTGATTTATACCTTGGGCACAGACAATTTAAGGTAATTTACAGAAAAAAACAGTATGTTGAATGCCTTCTTGTGTTTGGTAAAAAAACTGCGAGTGTACAGACAATATTTCCCTCTAGATGGATTTCATCCGTAAATATTTTATTCAAATTCTTTTTATATTTTGTTAAAGACGAATTTAGTTAACAGTGCTACATGTGAGCTACATTAATGAGGCTGACTGACCTAATAAACGGTGCAAGGCAAATACAATTGTCCCAAGGTCTCTTTTCAAAACTAGAGCATCAATATTTTCTCGATTCAGTTTAATGTTATTTTTAAATTACATAATTTATGAGTCTTGTCATAGACGTTGTATGCAGTGACACAGACCCTTAAGTTGGCGATTAGGGCAATGAGTCGACGTTTTCAATTACAAAATTATCAGCCTTTCAGATCGATAATTTTGGGATCATTAAAATTCTATTTTAAGATAGTGTTTGTGGTGCTTTTACGGTATAGAATAGAACTGCAGAGTAGCTTGGTTTTCACTTTTGCTACTACGACTCAATGGAAAAAGTCTTAAAAGCAATAGTTAATGGAACAAACTACAATATCTTTAGAATTTACAGTTTTCCCCATTGAAAAGATTGAGCCATTGGCGTATATGGTTCCGTATTGCAGTGTAAGGTATACGGTATAGCAAGATACATGTACAAAGTGCTGTACAATACTGTACATGTACGGCACAGTATTGTACAGGCCCTCGTTTCACAACGATTTGAGCCAGGCTTTACAAATCCTGGGACTAAATATGTCGGACGTACATGAAAGGAAAACAGCCCAATCTTTTAATAGTCCCTCCGCCCGCCTCTTACACGCCTCGCCACACGTCGTCCCTGCGGGATACAGTCATTAAATCTCGGCTCCGTTCGCCATGTTTATGCCGTAATTTACCGACTTTTAGTTGAGATTGCTGTCTAAAGGCTCCTCCCGAGGAGGCTAGACATCGTCGACTAGCAGCTAAGAAAAAACGACGTAAGCGACCTTTTAGATTCTTTGTGAAACGGGACTTAGTGACGTAACGACTTAATTACGTTGGTAACCAAGCTCTTAGTCAGGGAAATCGACTTAAGTTTTTTTGTGAAACGGGGGCCAGCACTTTGAAATCACTGATACGTGTATGTGGCGGTTCTATAAGTAAAGAGGTGAAAAGACAAGTGCATGACACCGAAGCCTGATGTAAAAAAGTAAATTGTAAATAATAATGAGAAATGGTCCACGTTGTACCATATTAAAAAAGGCACAGTGTGCTCGCTCCTCCCTCACCCATTCGACCCTTTATGTTACTAAACAAACCAGAGAATGAGATTTTGCCTTGCTTTACTTTCAGCTTCTGTTTTGTTTGCACATTTTTTAAGTAATCTGTTTGGTAATTCAAATACCGTAGCTTCACCTTAACCATTCTTTCATGTCACAAGTATTGCAGTATCTAATAAAAACACAGGACTTATTTGATTTTAGGCTTGTTCTGGTACTTTAATTCATCTACAGGTTATTGCATTTTGGTATTTGGTATCTGTTGATTTTCTTTTGGAAGACGTGTTTTTAATCAGCTCACTCCCAAATAAGTTTTTCGGTATTTAATTTCAATAATAAACAATTACTATTATGTTGACTTATTAATCTAGATAAGTATATGAAAAGGCGACATCAGCAAAGATATTTCAATTGTAACGATAAAAACAAGAAGCCATGTGCAAGTAGTGTTCGTTCCAGAACTTAAATTCTTCTATGGGCACAGGAAGCGGACCTCGTAGTCCTTGCAAGACTGTCCGGAGGCCTGATCCGCATTGACGCAAACGAGACCCTCAGAAGGAGTGCACTTGTTTTTGAAAACCTGCCCGGTTTGGTCCCATGGCTGCTCGGTGGATTTTTCACGACATTGGATGTCGATAGGCTCGTGGCTGTTGCACTGGAACAAAAGGAGTGTATAAATTTAAATGGAAAAAAAGAAAAGAAAAGAGAAAAAAGAAGAGAAAAATATAAGAAAAACAAGACAATTGCTTAAAGATAGCATCATTTTCTTGTATTCGTATATGGACATCAAAATCAGATCAAATGCATTGTGGGCTATTTTGTTTCAAAAGTTTCAGTTCTTTGTGGACTGAAAACGCACTTTAAACCGAGGAAAAAATATGATATTAATAAGAAAAAATCATGCTTTGTGTAGTGCTACAGTTAATTGGATACAAATGGTAAATAGATAATAGTCTACATAAAAATGGGATTGTTGTTTTAAAATTTACAGGGTAGATCATAATAAGGCAATGGAACAGCAATTAATTAAGTAAATGCGAGAAAATAGCAATACCGGGTTGTGCCCTGTTGGTCCGACGTTCTCCCAATCTCCGGTAGCAGTGGGAATGTCTCTGTTCAGCCAGTTCGTCCAGCGTGCGTTTCCGCATGTCGTGCAAGTTCCTAAAAGACAATTACAATCCCATTATAGCCATAAACAGTAACTAGTAACGCCGTAACTGGAAGAGAGTAAAAAAAAGATATATATTGAAAGTAAAAGTGCTTTTCCTGTACTTGTATATACATATGTGACAAAAAGAAATAAAAAACAGCAGTCATTTTACCCCGACCGGTTTCATCGCATCTTCAGGGGGTTTGTTGGATCGACCAAAATAAACAAACCCACTGAAGATGCGATGAAACCGGTCGGGGTAAAATAACTGCTCTTTTTTAATTTCTTTCTGTCACATATATACTGCATATTGAGACGTTTCCGTGAATATCCTGTGAATATCACAGGACAAATACTGCAACAAACCAAAATAAATAGAATGTAGCTGTGCTATCTTAGTGTTGCGTTGTGCTATCGTAGTGTTGCGTGAGCGTGGCATGTGACATTTTTTCAATTTGTCATCTTATTTGTTCATTTCATGTCACCTCCTCGCGTCTGTTACAGTCTATAACTAACGCGTGGAAAGAAGACAAACTAATGTCTGCGTTCAAAAGTCAACAGAGTAATCAACCGATGAATGAAAAATGATGTAAAAAGCACCACAGACTCTTAGATTTTCATTGTTCCCACCGAGTTTTCATGTTATCAGGCTCACTCTGTTACCTTTTTGAGTTTTAAATACTGTTGGTCTTGCCTGAAACAGTATGGGGTGTTAATGTACACTTTGGAAGTGCGTTTCTTATTGGCGTTAAAATACCTATAACAACTGGTATAGCATACATTCGCTACAATTTGCACCTACCCAATCACCATACCACTAACGCTACTTTTCCTCTGTTCCGGCACGCGGACGCACGCACCTACACATATACGAGTATTATGCACACGTGCACACACACACGCGCGCGTACATACTGTATACACGCGGGGAGAGAGGGTTCAATTCCATTCGAAATTTTAAAGTGTCACAGTACTCCGCCGCAATGTTTACAAGCCTGTGGTTCAGAGACGAGGCGGATAAGCTTAATATTTCCATATTGTACCAAGTAATGAATTTATTCATATATATATATATATATATATATATATATATATATATATATATATATATTTGATTAAACACGACGAAACTGACACACATCAGAACTGTAGTTTGGGATAAAGATTTACCTACCGATGACAGGGCAGCGAAACTGCACTTCGTAGTCTTTACATGATTTGCCGTTCACTTCAGTGGTACACACGAGTCCAGTGTCCCAGCCACACGCCAGCCCGTCATTGAACTTGTCCCCAGTGCTGTAATATGGCGTCTTGTCGCTCTTGTCACGGCAGAGCGTACAAAGGGGTCGCACACCAAGGCAAATGTTGTTATTGTCAGTTATCTGCACAGAAAAAATAAGTCCTACGGTTATTTCTCGCAGATTTGAAACACCCGTATTGACCTTATACTTTCTTCTTTGCCAGATTTCTTCACAAGCAAATAAGTTGTTTTTAAAAAACATAGGCTCATCTGCTGAACCATAGCCGTAATCTTTGTCAGTGCTTATTCCCGGAAATGTCTAAATAATGATAATTTGTCTGGATCTAATAAACAAATTGCTGTGAACAAGCTTTTCGGTTTTTCAATGTTAAGGTTTTAACAGGACTGCTTATTATGCTTTAAATCTTTTCTAATCTTTATTTACAAAATAAACGAACAAAATATTTTACAGTATTCAGATATTCAGAAAAGACACAGGTCGCAATTGTGTATGATTTGAAATCTCATTTTTTCACAATTCCAATGCGTAGATTTAAAAAACTAAAATTTTGATTACCCGAAAACTAGACACGCTTTCCCAGTCTCCAGTTGCACTTGGGTCATCTCTGTCCAAATACGGTCCCGTTTCCACCTCTACAAATGTAAAACGTAAGTAATGATGATAAAATTAAAATCATGATGATAACGACAAGCCTTCTAAAAACCGGTCCAAGAAGTCATAATGGAAGTATAAATGTCTAAAGCACTTAATTATGTTCACTTTTAGTTTTCAATTAAAATAACACGTTTTTAACTGTTAGTTTTCAATTAGAATATATTACAATGGGTTGTTTAAAGTCATTTTTACCTGTAGAAGGGCAGAGAAACCGTATCTCGTAGTCCTTGCAGTAGCCTCCAGAGCCTTGATCGGCGTTCTTGCATATCAAACCAGTTGTTGGGAGGCAGTTGGCAGCGAGTTTATCGGGTGCAGAACCCCTCCAGCGCGTGAAGACAGTAGAGGAGCCTTTAACACGACACTCGGCCCCAATCGGCTTGCAGCCACCACAAATGTAGTGAGATTTCTGAAATTGTTTGAGAAATTGGTGGGAATGCTGCTCTTTCTCATTTTTGATAGCCTCTTAAAATCGTGTAGGCATTCAAACCCAGTTGACTATCACTGCTATGAGTAACAAAAACGTATTTGTGGTACAAAGTGGCTTCAACATCACCTTTCATTCTCTCCCAGATATCACTATAACAAAAGAGAGCGAGACAAAACACGCCAACCTTTTTCAAACCTGAGAACTATGTATGGCAATGTGATTGTACTCATCAACAACTATTTCTTATTGGCTACATATTTCCGCTCTTTATACCTACATGTACCCCCCACCCCCACCTACCCATCCACACACACAGCAAGACCCTGCATCCGCCATTCAACAAGTAAAGATGTTCAAAAAGAAAAGAAAGACTTCACGTACCCGCAGATCAGCGACAGTTTCCCAGTCGCCAGTAGCCGAAGGGTCGTCGCGATCGTACCATCTGGACCAACTGTGACCTGTGCAATAAATAAATAAACAACCATTTTGGTGAACTGAATTGCTTTTCGAAACAATATCATCTGTTTTAAAATAAGCTTTATAACACGCAATCAAAACCCAAAGGAACATATTTTAGTCCTTTTTTCTTTAACCTACACAATCAGTTATATGCAAATTCAAGTACATTTTCAAGGTATTCTTTTTGCATTATGCACTTCTTGTTTTGCAGATAGTAAGTAAAACCATTACAATCATCGCCACTGAGGATGAATTTTGTTTTTAGGTCAAATAATAGAAAAAAATAAAAATCGAGTCGCACATACCTTGTATTTGAACGACAACAGAAAGACACAACACGGCGAAAAGAACCATTGTAGTTTCCATTGAACACTAGCTGTGAAAACAAAATTGTCACCTGAAAGCAGACATAAAAATACGGAAAGAATTTGAGGCACCCTTTCGTTCGTTTGAGTGTTAAAGTATACATTTTGTTTTCAATCTCAGAAGATCCAAGATAATGACTTTCAACTCAAAATGCCTATTTTTCTGTAGTGAAAGCAATGCTTCTTAAACCACTTCTATTTGAATCATTAAAACGAGCCATTGCATGACTTATCTTAGGCTCCGTTCGCATGACAAGCCTATTTTCTAAAAATCTATTTTCTATTCGCAGTATCTTGTGATCACGTTCTGTGTCATGAATATCCCGCGGCGTAATAACTGGCAGCGCCAGTTACTTCCAAAGCTGTAATTAATTCTCGGCTGCGCTCGGAGTGATCACAAGACACCGCTAATAGAAAATAGATTTTTCATGTGAACGGTGCTCGTAATAGTGAATAAAACTCCCGTGCGAGCTGTTCTTACAGTGCCTTACCTTTACCTCTTCAAATGCAAATTCTACCGACGTAGTCACTGCTTATATACCATAACTCGATCGTTGGCCAATCCTCAGGTGATGCCAGATACCAAAATTAATATCATTATTCTTTCTTATCATCATAACAATCATGGGATTTCCATTTCCAGAAACTCGTTTAAAGACAGACAATGAGCGTTTGACCTCCATAGAGCAAAAACAAAAAAATGCTTATCCTTGAAATGTGATACTGACTGAATTTTCTAAAAATAATATACATGCTGGCGGTACATATTTTTCTAACTAACAATTAAGTTGCGTTTCATTTATAATCTAAAAGCATGCGTTCTGTGCTTATGCTACGCTGATTTGGTCGTGAATCGAACGTTTATGACGCTTTAAGACCAACATTATGTTGTCAGACATCCAAGTTTAATAGTGTTAACTTAACCTAAACATTTCAGTATTATATAAAACAGCCTCTGAGATAGCAGTTATTTGAATTGAATTTTTTGCATTTGTTTTTAAGGCAAAAAACATCATTGGGCGCAAAGAATTGTTGGTCACTTTTTCTAAATATGTACATATGAATGAAAACAGTAAATTGATTAAAACACGCTTTAATTAAATAACACGCCAAAATGCAGGGTTTTAAAAAAGCTTATCTTAAATTGCAGACTTCCAGCTGGTAACAGTTCGCGAAATTCCGCAAGCTGCCGTTAGGGGTAGGGTAGAACGCGGATTGGATGAAAATCTCCCTACAAGACGGTACCAATTTGATGTCTATAGTAAGCACTTCGATCAGCGGTTACGTAAGAACAGTCACATTGATATCAATAACATCCCAGTGTATAATGTGGCGGCAGGGGTTCCATTGATACAGACACGGAAGTTCGACATTTTGGCGGAACGAACGGTAAAGGAGACGATTGCATAAATTACCTTATCAATATACATTTCACACACACACACACACACACACACACATATATATATGATTCCATTGTATTTTTTAATTAATTATTTTCAAAGTTTTCAAGTTTTAATTTCGCTTAAAGCTGATTTACTGTGGTTCAAGGTTTATCGGAAATATTTGCTTTACCATAATGGTCTAGAACCTAGAAGAATAAGGTTTATCTGAACTATTTCCTTAACCATTACGTTATTCTAAAAGGAAACGCTCGAGAACGTCGGTCCGCTAAAACGTTTTTTTCTGACCGAACCACCACATTTATAATGTTTTTACATGTATAAAACAATTTTATGCCTAAATTTGATTTATCAAATCTATTTAAACTCATTTCGTGCTGATCAAAAAAGTGTAACTAATAAAGATTTATTATCTACAATTTTACGTTGTTATTTTATTATTGAAATATTAAATGAACACACATATTGTAGACCTACGCAGCATTTCACTTTATCCTGCGGCTGGCAAAAAATGTAGATACATTATACACGTCGTTTTGCTACTGTAACCGTGGTTTGTTAAGCCCCCTTTACACTGGCCGGCATACTTTCTGCGTCCCGTAGTACGGCCCCGTTTGAGAGTAAAAAATAATACTTCACGTGCCGACAACTGGCCGATAACAGAGTATGCATTTTGCAATCAAAGTGATGTTTGTGCCTCTGTTCTACGACCACAGCGATGCCAGTTTCATGCCACATGCCACAAATCTACCAATCTATATACAAATCTATCTCTTGTAATAAAGTACATTTCTCATCTATCATTACTATTATTTTCAAAGAAGGACACAGGCTAGGCTAAAGTGTTTTTCTTTACTCTATCTCTGACTCTATGTTTGTGTCCGGTTGGTAAACAGGATACATAAAACTTACCCTAAGTGTCAGAGCAACGTAAAAATTAGCTTGTAAATATTAAATATAACTTGGCAGGCCCGTAGCCAGCAATTTCAAAGGGGGGGGGTTCTTTTTCTGAAAAAGTGGACCTTTTAATATATATTCCCCATGTNTGCTTATTATGCATTAAATCTTTTCTAATCTTTTTTACAAAATAAACGTACAAAATATTTTACAATATTTAGATATTCAGAAAAGAAACAGGTCGCAATTGTGTATGATTTGAAATCTCATTTTTTCACAATTCCAATGCGTAGATTTAAAAAAACTAAAATTTTGATTACCCGATAACTAGACACGCTTTCCCAGTCCCCAGTTGCACTTGGGTCATCTCTGTCCAAATACGGTCCCGTTTCCACCTCTACAAATGTAAAACGTAAGTAATGATGATAAATTTAAAATAATGATGATAACGACAAGCATTCTAAAAACCTGGCCCCAGAAGTCATAATAGAAGTATAAATGTCTAAAGCACTGAATTATGTTCACTTTTAGTTCTCAATTAAAATAACACGTTTTTAACTGTTAGTTTTCAATTAAAATATATTACAATGGGTTGTTTAAAGTCATTTTTACCTGTAGAAGGGCAGAGAAACCGTATCTCGTAGTCCTTGCAAAGGCCTCCAGAGCCTTGATCGGCGTTCTTGCATATCAAACCAGTTGTTGGGAGGCAGTTGGCAGCGAGCTTATCGGGTGCAGAACCCCTCCAGCGCGTGAAGACAGTAGAGGAGCCTTTAACACGACACTCGGCCCCAATCGGCTTGCAGCCACCACAAATGTAGTGAGATTTCTGAAATTGATAGAGAAATTGGTGGGAATGCTGCTCTTTCTCTTCTTTGATAGCCGCTCAAAATCGTGTAGGCATTCAAACCCAGTTGACTATCACTGCTATGAGTAACAATGACGTAGTTGTGGTACAAAGTGGTTTCAACATCACCTTCATTTCTCACCCAAATATCACTATGTCAAAAGAGCGAGACAAAACACGCCCACGTTTTCAAACCTGAGAACTATGTATTACAATGTGATTGTACTCATCAACAACTATTTCTTATTGGCTACATATTTCCGCTCTTTATACCTACATATACCCCCACCCACCCACCCATCCACACACACAGCAAGACCCTGCATCAGCCATTCAATAAGTAAAGATGTTCAAACAGACAAAAAAAGACTTCATATACCCGCAGTTCAGTGACAGTTTCCCAGTCGCCAGTAGCCGAAGGGTCGTCGCGATCGTACCATCTGGACCAACTGTGACCTGTGCAGTAAATAAATAAACAACCATTTTGGTGTACTGAATTGCTTTTCGAAACAATATCGTCTTCTTTTTAAAAGAAAATTAGCTTCATAACACGCAATCAAAACCCTAAGAAACAAATTTTAGTCCTATTTTTCTTTAACTTACACAATCAGTTATATGCATTTTCAAGTACTTTTTCAAGGTATATTTTTTGCATTATGCACTCCTTGTTTTGCAGTCAATAAGTAAAACCATTAAAATCATCGCCACTGAGGATTAATTTTGTCACATAATAGAAAAAAATAAAAATCTAGGCGCACATACCTTGTATTTGAACGACAACAGAAAGACACAACGCGGCGAAAAGCATCATTGTAGTTTCCATTGAACACTAGCTGTGAAAACAAAATTGTTACCTGAAAGCAGACATAAAGATACAGAAAGAATTTGAGGCACCCTTTCGCTCCATTGAGTCTTAAAGTATACATTTTGTTTTCAATCTCAGAAGATCCAAGATAATGACTTTCAACTCAAAATGTCTTTTTTCTGTAGTGAAAGCAATGCTTCTTAAACCACTTCTATTTGAATCATTAAAACGAGCCATTGCATGACTTATCTTAGGCTCCGTTCACATGACAAGTCTATTTTCTAAAAATCTATTTTCTATTCACAGTATCTTGTGATCACGGTTTGTGCCCTGAATATCCCGCGGCGTAATAACTAGCAGCGCCAGTTACTTCCAAAGCTGTAGTTAATTCTCGGCTGCGCTCGGAGTGATCACAAGATACCGCGAATAGAAAATAGATGTTTAGAAAAAAAGATTTTTCATGTGAACGGTGCTCATAATAGTGAATAAAACTCCTGTGCGAGCTGTTCTTACAGTGCCTTACCTGTACCTCTTCAAATGCAAATTCTACCGACGTAGTCACTGCTTATATACCATAACTCGAGCGTTGGCCAATCCTCAGGTGATGCCAGACACGAACATTAATATCATTATTCTTTCTTATCATCATAACAATCATGAAGTTTCCATTTCCAGACACTCGTTTAAAGACAGACAATGAGCGTTCGACCTTCATAGAGCAAAAACAAAAAAAAATGCTTATCCTTGAAATGTGATACTGACTGAATTTTCTAAATATAATATACATGCTGGCGGTACATATTTTTCTAACTAACAATTAAGTTGCGTTTCATTTATAATCTAAAAGCATGCGTTCTGTGCTTATGCTAAGCTGATTTGGTCGTGAATCAAACGTTTATGACGCTTTTAGACCAATATTATGTTGTCAGCCATCCAAGTTTAACAGTGTTAACTAAACCTAAACATTTCAGTATTATATAAAACAGCCTCTGAGATAGCAGTTATTTGAATTGAATTTTTTGCTTTTGTTTTTAAGGCAAAATACCTCATTGGGCGCAAAGAATTGTTGGTCACTTTTTCTAGATATGTACATATGAATGAAAACTGTAAATTGATTAAAACACGCTTTAATTACATAACATGCCAAAGTGTAGGGTTTTTTAAAAGCTTATTTTAAATTGCAGACTTCCAGCTGGTAACAGTTCGCGAAATGCCGCAAGCTGCCGTTAGGGGTCGGGTAGAACGCGGATTGGATGAAAATGTCGCTACAAGACGGTACCAATTTGATGCCTATAGTAAGCACTTCGATCTTCGGTTACGTAAGAACAGTCACATTGATATCAATAACATCCCAGTGTATTATGTGGCGGATGACGGGAGTATCGAAAAGAAGGAAGACGAGAGTGAGGATGTATTTATTATTAAGTTTCTAATCACTTAGAAACACAGAATGAGCTTGATGCCTTTAAGTATCAATTTATCTCCAAGGTATTCCTATCCAATAATGCTGATCATGTTCACTGTTCCATTACACCTTTAAATCAAGAGTATAGTAGTTTATTACTTAACTTTCTGTCTTGTGGCAAAGTGTATGACCAATTTTATTCTTTCTATTTTTAAAGGTTTTAACACATCGACGCTTTTACAGGGCAATTTCGACATTGCATAATTAACATATTTATTGGCTAAATAAACATTTATCTTAAAATTTGAATACTTCACCTCTTCAGGATTTCGTCTTGTACCAAGATAAGGGCAGTAACGCGGCTGTTGGCATGTCCGTTGTGGCGGATAAAGAGAAATTGGTAAGTAAAGTTTAAAGATACATTTTAGAGCAGACTATCTGACCGAAAAAAAGGTTATTTTTTTACATTTCATTTCATATGTATCAATGCACAGACACACACACGCAGTTTGCATTACGCTCCTTGTATTCAGTCTTGAATAGTGATTTTTGTACATTTTTTCCATTGCCGTCTTAGAAAAAAATTGCATTTCCAGGAGGGTTTTGTTGTTGACGGTGACACGATGTACGAGTTGAGGCACGTAGCAGACGATAACTACCACGTGGTGCGAAAGAAAATTGAAAGCATAAACGCAGACGACGGCAGGGGTTCCATTGATACAGACACGGAAGTTCGACATTTTGGCGGAACGAACGGTAAAGGAGACGATTGCATAAATTACCTTATCAATATACATTTCACACACACACACACACACACACACACACACACACACACATATATATATGATTCCATTGTATTTTTTAAATTAATTATTTTCATAGTTTTCAAGTTTTAATTTCGCTTAAAGCTGATTTACTGTGGTTCAAGGTTTATCGGAAATATTTGCTTTACCATAATGGTCTAGAACCTAGAAGATAAGGTTTATCTGAACTATTTCTTTAACCATTACGTTATTCTAAAAGAAACGCTCGAGAACGTCGGTCTCCTAAAACGTTTTTTTCTGCCCGAACGACCACATTTATAATGTTTTTACATGTATAATACAATTTTATGCCTAAATTTGATTTATTAAAACTATTTTAACTCATTTCGTGCTGATCACAAAAGTGTAACTAATAAAGATTTATTATCTACAATTTTACGTAGTTATTTTATTATTAAAATATTAAATGAACACATATTGTAGACCTACGCAGCATTTCACTTTCTCCTGCGGCTGGCCAAAATGTAGATACATTATACACGTCGTTTTGCTACTGTAACCGTTGTTTATTACTTAACTTTCTGTCTTGTGGCAAAGTGTATGACCAATTTTATTCTTTCTATTTTTAAAGGTTTAACCGATAACAGAGCATGCATTTTGCAACCAAAGTGATGTTTGTGCCTCTGTTCTACGACCACAGCGATGCCAGTTTCATGCCACATGCCACAAATCTACCAATCTATATACAAATCTATCTCTTGTAATAAAGTAAATTTCTCATCTATCATTACTATTATTTTCATAGAAGGACACAGGCTAGGCTAAAGTGATTTTCTTTACTCTATCTCTGACTCTATGTTTGTGTCCGGTTGGTAAACAGAATACATAAAACTTACCCTGAGTGTCAGAGCAACGTAAAAATTAGCTTGTAAATATTAAATATAACTTGGCAGGCCCGTAGCCAGCAATTTCAAAGGGGGCGGGGTTCTTTTTCTGAAAAAGGGGACCTTTAAATATATAATCCCCATGAACCCCCCCCCCCCGGCTACGGGCCTGCATGGAGTCATTTTTTACTAGCTCTGAGGAACAGTGGACATGTTAGGCTTCCGTCAATCAAATAGAACTGCTCCGCAGTGAATCTGCAGTTGAATGTCATCAGACCAAAATGTAATGTAAAACAAATTTAATTTTGCTTTATTTAATTTTATTTGCTATATTTAAGATGTAAAGTGAAAAAATAAATAATATTCTTCGAAAAAAAAGATATATCCAATGTTTTCGTATTTTTTGCTTATCAAAGAACATTTAGTCCTGAGATATACACGTGCACAATACATGTGCTTGCCGTGTGCCAAATTTGACAGCTACACTGTATGCCCGATACCACTATAAGGGCTGCGCAATGGCTACACGAAAATAAGTTTTTACAGCAGAATGTTGCTTGTATTGTGGCACTGACCTTCGACTGCAAGATATTTTCAATTCAAACTTCTAACTCCGTGTCAGGCACTTTAATTGCTTCTTGTCTCGCCTGCACGAGACTTCAGCGCAAGGCGGGAGAGGCAGCTCCAGGCGG